CTCCATCTTAGCCTTGGCATCTTCAGGGTTAAGCAGAACTTCAAAATGGTTGCAAGGGGACACACTGCCCAAGCCCCGGCTCTCCTGCCCTGCTTGGTTGGGCTCTGGGAATCAGCAACTGTATGGCTGGAAGGGAATCTGTGCCCCCTCCCCCTTTTATGTCCCTACAGAGGGGGAAAGGGGCAGCTCCTCCTTTGGGGGTAGGGGAGGGAGAAGAACATGGTGGAGCTCTTGTGAGGGTCACCGTGAAGGGCACGAAGGTTCCTAAGCTTGCAGTCTTCTTTGCCATCCACAGCCTTGCCCAGAAGCCTGGCACGAAGTGCCCCAAGCAGGATCTCCCCTTGACTGCCCTTTCTCTGCAAAAGGACAGCACACCCTTGGGAAGAGGGGGGAGGAGAGAGGCTGAGCACAGATTCATGGCCAGAAATTACTATTCAGCACAGAAGCTGGGACTTGGGCTCTGAATCACTGCAGGCTCCCTGATAAGCTGCCGCTTCCAGCTACCGAACAGCTGTGCTGAGAGATAACAGCCTTGGAGCCCTGCCTGTCTCCTCGCCCAGCTCTTAAGTAGGCTGAGGTGGGGGGGGGGGTGTCACTGTGTGCAAAGAGTGGGAGGGGTGAGTGTAACCCCATGGTCTCAGGAGCAGACTCCCCCCACTGCAACTCAGCAGAACCCCTGAAAAGGGAGAGATGGGAAACAAAGCCTGTGTGAGTTATTTTGCTGGCAGACCCCCTAAAAGAAATCCTGTGCTAATGACAAGAGGTAGGTTTCTGTAATTGTGGGGAGGTCTCCAGGGAGGGTGGACATTCCCCCCCCCAAAAAAAAATCTCTGCTTGTACTTTGAGCCTTGTCCAGACTCCCTGATTGCCTCTTCTGATTTCCTTTGTTGTTGTTTTTTTCCCCCTTGTATCATCCCTGGTGCTTGAACTCAGGGCCTAGATGCAGTTCCTGAGCTTTTGTGTTCAAGGCTAGTGTTCTACCAGTTGAGCCACAAACTCAACATCTGGCTTTTTGGTGGATAATTGGAGATGAGTCTCACAGACTTTCTGCCTGGGCTGGCATCCAACTGTGATTCTCAGATCTCAACCTCCTGAGTAGCCAAGATTATAGGCCTGAGCCAGGGGCTCTTGTGTGTCTTTCTTTCCTTCCTTCCTTTCTTTCTTTCTTTCTTTTTTTTTGAGACAAGAGGTAGTGCAGCCTGATCTGCCCTTGAACTCTAGCTCCTCTTGCCTCAGCCTCCGTGCTGGGATTACTGCCATTAGCCTTCTCTAGCTTGATTTGCTCTTCTTGATGAGTCCCTAAGGAGAGTCAATAGGTTTAGCTGTTCTTGGCTGACCCTCTCATAGACAACCCAAGAAGCATGGAAAAGGCCAGGCACAAGTGGTTCATGCCTGTAATTCTAGTCCATTTAGGAGGCTGAAATCTGAGGATCTAAGTTTGAAGCTAGCTTGGTCAGGAAAAGTACATGAGGGTCTTATTTCTGATTAACCACCAACAAGCTGCAAGTGAAGGTGTGGCTCAAGTGGTAGAGTGCCTTGATTGAAAAAGGCAACCAAGAGCATGAGGCCCTAGTTCAAGCTCAGTTGCAACACACACACACACACACACACACACACACACTGTAATCATGGGGATGGAAATGGGGCAGACTAGAAAGCTAGCAAAGCCAGGCAGCCTGGAACCATAGGGCTTCTCTTACAGCATTAGGTCTTCTGGCATTCCAGGAGACCGCCTGTGTGAGGACCAGTGAATTAGGGGTTTGTAGAGGAGGAAAGGGGAGGCTTCCAGATTCAGCACAGTAAAAGCTTCAGAAGCCCAGCGCCAGTGACTCACGCTTGTAATCCTAGCTACTTAGGAGGCTGAGATCTGAGGATCAAGGTTCAAAGCCAGCTTGGGCAGGAAAGTCCCAGAGACTCTTATCTCTAATGAACCACCAGAAAACTGGAAGTGGTGCTGCGGCTCAAGTGGTAGAGCACTTGCCTGGAGCTGAAGAGCTGAGGGACAGCGCCCAGGCCCAGAGTTCAGGCCCCAAGACCGACACACACACACAAAAGCTTCAGAAGCTGCCTGTCCTCAGTTAGCCATGAATCTGCCATGGCAATCATTCCAACTTCCAATCAACTGCATACACTGCCCAGTTGTGGAGGGAGATGAGTCCTTTGTGGAGTGACATACACATTGTCCTCTCAACCCTGGCCCTTCACCTTCCAACCCCATTAATTGAGTAGTTTATGTTGTTGCTTTTTTTTTTTTCTTTTTGATCCCAGTCCTGGGATTTGAACTCAGAGTCTGAGTGTTGTCTCTGAGTTTCCTCCCCTCCCCTCAGTGCTAGCACTTGACCAATTGAGCCACAGCTCCACTTTTGACTTTTTTTTTTTTTTGTCAGTCATGGGGCTTGAACTCTGGGCTCGAACGCTGTCCCTCAGTTCTTCAGCTCAAGGCTAGCGCTCTACCACTTGAGCCACTGGGCCACTTCCAGTTTTCTGAGTGGTTTATTGGAGATAAGAGTCTCATGGACTTTCCTGCCTGGGCTGGCTTTGAACCATGATCCTCAGATCTCAGCCTCCTGAGTAACTAGGATTACAAGCGTGAGCCACCAGCACCTGGCACACTTTTGGCTTTTTTGATAGTTCAGTAGAGACAAAGTCTCATGAGCTTTCCTGCCCAGGCTGGCTTGGAACTGTGATTCTCAGATCTCAGCCTCCTGAGCAGCTAGGATTACAGGTTTGAGCAGCCAGAGCCCAGCTTAGGTGGGCAGTTTTTGTCATCATCCTGTCTATAAGAGCACACAGATGGTGTAGACTCCTAGATGGCTGAAGGAAGAGGTAGAGAAGAAAGAAAGAAAAATTCGCCTCAGGATTCTAACATATACTCGTGTGAAATTGTGCCCTCACCAGTATAATCCTTTGGCAAGCCTTATGGGCACCTGCTGAAGCTTAAGCCCATAACTGAATGAATCTTGCCAGCCTGCCCTACTCCCTGCCCAGCTCCTGACACATGAGAAGCCATTGGAGAGTTCCTGAATGGACTCACAGAACCACATTTCTCAACTATGATGATGCTGGTGGGATTGGAGGTGACTCAATTGGTAGAGCACTAGCCGATGAGTGAACGTATCAGGTATTGAGTCCAACTCTCAGTATTAGACAAAAAAAAAAAAGGAAAAAGAAAAGAAAGACCGGGGTTGGGAAGGTGGCTTAGAGGTAGAGCGCTTGCTTTGCATGCATGAGGCCCTGGGTTCGATTCCTCAGCACCACATAAGAAAAAAGCTGGAAGTGGTGCTGTGGCTCCAGTGGTAGAGCGCTAGCCTTGAGCTGAAGAGCTGAAGGACAGCGCCCAGGCCCAGAGTTCAGGCCCCACAACCGGACCCCCCCCCCAAAAAAAAAAAAAAAGAAAAGAAAGACCTTCTGATGCCACATGAAAGTCTGCAACTGTCCAGCCCCAGAGACAATGTCCAAAGTTGTCTGTCCTCACTGCAATCTCATTCATCTGCACTCTTGGAGTCTCCTGCCCTGTGAAGATGCCAGGCTTACCATGGTGATTGGGTGTTTATACCCAGCCAGAGGACTCCAGTGTTTCTTTCTCCTTTGTTCATTCTGGGGTTTGAACTCAGAACTTGGACTCTGTCCCTTAGCTTTTTCTTTTCTTTTATTCTTTGTGTTGGTTTTAGGGCTCAAACTAAGGAACTTTACTCTCCCTTGGCTTTTTTTTGCTCAAAGCTGATGCTCTACCTACTTGAGCCATGGGAGCTTTTTGCCACTTAATTGGAGATTAGAGTCTTACAGACTTTTTTTTTGGATCTGGTCGTGGGGCCTGAACTCTGGGCCTGAGCACTGTCCCTCAGCTCTTCAGCTCAAGGCTAGTGCTCTACCACTTGAGCCACAGCACCACTTCCGGCTTTTTTCTTTTTGCTTATGTGGTGCTGAGGAATCGAACCCAGGGCCTCATGCATGCAAGGCAAGCACTCTACCACTGAGCCACCTTCCCAGCCTCTTACATACTTTTTTTTTCTGCCTGGACTGGTTTGGAACCATGATCCTCAGATCTTGGCCTGCTGAGTAGCTAGGACTGAGCCACTAGTGCCTAGCTTCCGCTTTTATTTTAAAATATAATATACCTTAGTTATACAGAAATGGAAGGACAAAGCATGAACAACTGTAGTAGTGGAACTCTCTAGATACTATGTTGAAAATGAACTATACAGCTTGTGGGTGGAGACAGGAGGGAAAAACTGGGAGAGAGTCAAGGAAGGGGAGACACGGTCCGGTCCAAAAAGAAATGGGCTCATAGTCCGATGCTGGTGGCTCACGCCTGTAATCCCAGCTACTCAGGAGGCTGAGATCTGAGGATCGAGGTGTAAAGCCAGCGCAGGCAGGAAAGTCTGTGAGACTCCTCTCTCCAGTGAGCCAGCAAAAAGCCAGAAGCGGGGCTGTGGCTCAAGTGGTAAGGCGCTAGCTTTGCGCAAAAAGCAGCTCTGGGACAGTGCCCAGGCCCCGAGTTCAAGCCTCAGGACTGCCACCAAATAAAGAAAAAGACAAAAGAGAAGTAAGACTCATGGACTTTACGCACGGGATTCTGAGATCTCAGCCTCCAGAGCCGCTGGATGACCAGGGTGCGCCTGGGGCGCCTGGCTCACAGTACTTGCTATTATAGTTCTGTCCTTGTTATTGTCATCCTTCCCATAAAGAAGTGGGAAGGTCTGCTCCACTACGGGACTCGAACCTTGATACTGTCTATTGTCCGTCCCTCGCTTTCCTCCCACCCTCCACTCACTCCGACCCTCCAGGTCGCGGGACTAGCGGGAGAAAAAAAACCGTACGCGGAGCTAACTAAGTTTGTCCTCCGCGCGCCGCCTTCGTCCGCCCAGGGGCGCAAGGTGCGTCCTCCCGGAGGCTCCGCCCACCGGCGTCGGGCGCGTCCTTCCCCCAGGCTCCGCCCACAAGCGCGTGTTTCGTCCTTCCGGAGGCTCCGCCCCTGACGTCCGTGCGTGAGTCCGGCCCCCCGCGCGCCGGATCCGGAGCGGCCCGCGAGCTCGCACCGGCTTCTCCGCAGCCTCCGCCGCCGCGCCGCCATCGCCGCGATGCTGGGCGCCGCTCTCCGCCGTTGCATCGTCGCCGCCGCCGTCCGGGCGGGTCCCCGAGGCCTGCAGCACTCAGCCCCGGCCCTCAGCCCCGCCGCCGGTAAGCCCAACGGCTGCCGCCGCCCGCGTCCGCGTGTCCTTGCGGTGACCTGGGCCCCCGCCGCCACTCGAGGGCGGGCTCCCCCCGCGGCCTAGGCCGGGCCCCGCGCGCCCGGCCCCCGCGGCCGCCCCGGCTGCTTCCCGGGGGTCGGCCCGCGGCCCGGCCGGCCCCCGCGGCGGGTCTCTGCCGGGGAGGGGGGCGCAGGAAGCGGGGTGCGGCGGCCCCCTTGGCGTCCCCGGGGGCCCCGGCCGTGACCTGGGCCGACCCCGCCGCCGGCTGGCCCGCGGCGCCCGGCGAAGGTGACATTGAGCCCGGGGCGCGGCGCGCCCTCCCCGCCCCGAGACCCCGACGTCCGGTGAGCGGCCGGATGCGGGCGCCGGGGGACGGTTGTGCCGCGTTCCGACCTCTGGGCGCTCGGAACCCGGGCGGCTTGCCGGGTTTCCTTCGCTCCGAAGGTCGTCGCCCCCCCCAGCTCGGAGGAGGACACTGGGTCGCCGGAGTGCGAACCCTGGCTCCTCTGTCGCTGCCTCCCTGCATGTGTGCTGGGAGATTGCGTGTCCCACACGAAGTCGTTGATGTTTCTTCTGGTACTGGGCCTGGTACCCAGGACGCTGCACCTGCAAAGCCTTGCCACCAAACTACCTACATCGCAGCCACGGTTTATTTACGTCCCAGCCATATATTTTATTTGTCTGACGCCAGGAGAGAGGGTCTCGCCTAGGAACCCGTTAGTGCTGTACTCTTCCTTTCTTCCTTCTTTCCTTTTTTCTTTCTGTGTGAACTCAGCTTCTGGGCGTTGGTAGATTCCCCCCCCCCCCCCCCTCGCTGCTGCTGCTCTACCACTTGAGCTTGCAGCTTCCTCCTTCCCCCGCCTTCCCTTTTTCTGGTCTTAGACTTTAACTCAGTCCGGGCGCTGTCGCTTTGTTTTTTCCTCGCCTCAAGGGTAGTGCTTTACCAGCTTTACCACTTGAGCCACACCTCCACTTTCGTCCTTTCCGGGGTTAATTGGAGATTAGAGTCTCCGAACTTGTCCTGCCCACGCTGCCTTAGAACCACGATCTCAGATCTCAACCTCCTCTGTAGCTAGGATTACAGTCTTGAGCCACAGGCACCTACCTAGCACCTTGCTTTTTAGTTAACAGGAGTTGCCCTTGAATGCTAGTCCATGATTATGGTGTAAAATATGAAACGTAGGTTTTAAGGCCTACATTTAGGCCCATTGAAACATTAACTCACACATTGAAAAACTGACATTATCTGTTTGACTCTTTGAACCTAAAGGATACTTTTCACCTCATTCAGTTTGGGCTTAAGCGTCCTAGAACAATAGGGCTGGAGTAAGCTTAGACACCATAGAAATTCTTGTTTTAGAAGAAAATGAGGCCCACCTTGAGAACTAGCTCTTCAATTAGCAGTGGAAATGTTTTCTGTTTCTTAGCTTTGGTTGTTAGCCTTGACTCTGCTGTTCGGATTTTGTGGAGTCATTTTTTTTTCCTTATTGCAAAAGTAGCAAATACTTAAACTTTTTTTCAGATGACATTTTGGATTTTTTTTTTTTGTCGGTTATGGGCCTTGAACTCTGGGCCTGAGCGCTGTCCCTTAGCTCTTTAGCTCAAGGCTAGCACTCTACCACTTGAGCCACAGCTCCACTTCTGGCTTTTTTTTCTTTTTGCTTATGTGGTGCTGAGGAATCGAACCCAGGAGCTCATGCATGCAAGGCAAGCGCTCTACCACTGAGCCACCTTCCCAGCCCCTCTTCTACATTTTTAAAGCAGGTTTGGGAAATGGCAGAAATTTTTGGCAAACCATACACTAAGTAAATTATTTCCTTGTTGATTTATCTCTCAGTTATTCTGTTCACCCTCCCAAGCCATTAAACTAATGGCTTTATTTTAGATGTTTGTCCCATGTAATTGCCACTAGGAGGCAGTGTTGGTCATAAGCAATGTCAGCTGCTTTTTATATGTGTGATTCTTGGCATGTTACTTTACCTTAAGTCTCAGCTGCCTTTTGTGTAAAGTCAAAGTAATTTGGGGTAGTTGTGAAGCTAAATGAGATAGTGTAACTCTTATCATCTTGTCTAGCAGAAGTACTTAATACAACTGTGCCTTGGTAAAGGATGAAATTGAGTCTGATTAGTGCCCCCTAAGGGTTAGGGGATTTTGTGGCCAGAACATAACAAAGCCTACTTGCACATAGCTTCAAGGCTACATAACATATTCCATCCTCTATGTAGCGTGGGGTCTAAACTGCATGTATTTGCTGTATTACTATGCATTTCAGTTTTGGATTTTTCAATGCTATGGATGGAATTTAGGGCCCTATAGGCAAGCACTGTACCACTGAACCATGTCCCTAGCCCATTCATTTTTGGATAACACTAGTGGAGATTTGTGCCTCATAAGGACCAGTATGAGACTAGAGGTTTTACTCTATTGAAAGTCAGAGAAGAGAGCCAATATGGTGCTACGCATCTGTAATACCAGCTATTGCGAGGCGAGGTGGAGGCAGCCAAGATAGGGAAAGTAAGCCGCAACCCTATCTCAAAAACAGAGTAGAGAACCAAAGGCTGGGCGTGTGTCTCTAGTATGAGTGCTTTGTTTTCTTGGAGGCCCTGGGTTTGGTTCTCAGCACCACAAAAGCCAGAAAAGCTAGGCGTGGTAGCCTGCATATATATCATCTCAGCACTAGGGAGGCTGTTACTTAGACCCTGTCTCAAAAAACAAACATGAAAATGAATTTTATTTCTTTTCTTTTTTTTTGTCCAGGAGCTTGAACTCGGCCTGGGGTCTGCGCACTGTCCCTGAGCTTTTTCTCTCAAGGATGGCACTCATCATCTTGAGCCACAGGCTCCACTTTCAGTTTTCTGGTGGTTAATCAGAAGAGTCTCATGGACTTTAACAGAGGTCCTCAAATCTCAGCCTCATGAGTAGTTAGGAGTATAGGTGTGAGCCACTTGGCATTCAGCATGAATTTCTTTTTCTTTTTTTTTTCCTCTCTGTTGTGGGGCTTGAACTTAGGGGTTGGGTGCTGTCCCGGAGACTCTTCGTGCTCAAGGCTAGTGCTCTACCATTGAGCCACAGCCTCACTTTCCAACCTTTTCTCTTCTCTTTTTATGTGGTACTGAGGAATCGAACCCAGAGTTTCATGCATGCTTAGACAAGCACCCTACCAGTAAGCCACATTCCCAGCCCAAATTTCATTTCTTGAATGAGGATAAGGTCAAGTGAATGTATCTAGAGGATTTAGAGAGGAGTCTAAAGTAGCAATAAAAAAGTTAAGTCTCCAGTTTGAAACATAATGATATAATAGTTTCCCAGTTACATGCTGAGTTGATAGATTATGCAAACTAATGGTTAAGTTCTCTAGTCGGGCCTTTAGAACCTGTGAAGTCCAGGCCGGCAGCCTCACCTGGGAGAGGGTAGGGCGTCTCTCCCTCTGAGCAACACAGCCAGCTTATCAACCTCTCTCTTTTTCTCCTCTGGTATCTTCAGGTTGTATCAAAGCAAAGGAATTCACCATAATTTGCCTTTTGAGTGTAACTACTAGGTGGTGGTGGAGATGCCTGTATCATTTCCTCTAAAAAACAATGATGAGGGCATGAATTTGTATGAAGTACACAGTACACATGTGGAATTATCTATCCCTTATAGTGTTAATGTGTACTAATAAAAACTTTAAGTATATGGGAGAAAAGGATTAAGAATACATCTGCTGTAGCACTGCAGTTAAGGACTTTTTTGTGTGTGTTTGCCAGTCCTGGGGTTTGAACTAAAAGGCCTTGACAGTGTCTTTGAGCTTCTTTTGCTCAAGGTTAGTGCTCTACCACTTGAGCAACAATTCTACTTTTGGCTTTTTTTTGTAATTTAGTGGCGATAAGAGTCTCATGGAAGCTGGGCGCCAGTGGCTCATGCCTGTAATCCTAGTTACTCCGGAGGCTGAGATCTGGGGAACACGATTCAAAGCCTGGGCAGGAAAAGTCTGTGAGACTCTTATTTCCAATAAACCACTCAGAAAACCAGAAGTGGTGCTGTGGCTCAAGTGGTAGAGCACTAGCCCTGAGCTGAAGAGCTGAGAGACAGTGCCCAGGCCCAGAGTTCAGGTCCCACAACCTACCAAAAAAAAGAGTCTCATGGACTTTTTTGCCCTGGCTGGCTTCAAAGTGATCCTTAGATCTCAGCCTCCTGAGTAGCTAGGTTTATAGGTGTGTCACTGTTGCCTGGTTTAGGAATATAATTTTATTCATGGAAGAGATGTATGTGTATTCCCAATGCATGAAATCCCGTATGGGCCCAGCAGTGAGCAAACTGAGTAGAAGAGGGTAAACTTACTAGGGCTAGGATAAAGATTGGAGATGAAGCTTTTTTTTTTTTTTGGTCGGTTCTGGGGCTTGAACTCTGGGCCTGGGGACTAACCTTGAGCTCTTCAGCTCACTTGAGCCACAGGTGATTCATTGGAGACTAAAGAGTCTCATGTACTTTCCTGCCTGGACTGGCTTTGAACTGTGATCCTCAGATCTTAGCCTCCTGAGTAGCTAGGATTACAGGCGTGGAGCTAACAGCCTGGCAACAGATTATCAGTGAAGTAGAGGGTTATGACAACCTATGTTTTCTGATACATCAATGTATTAGTCTTGTAAGCTCATTAAATGTCTACATAGTCTCAATTATTTGGGTATATTGAAGTGGAAACATGCCTCCCTCCTCCCTTTTTTAAATTTTGGCTAGTCCTGGGGCTTGAACTCAGGGCCTCAGCACTATCCCTGAGCTTCTTTTGCTCAAGGCTAGCTCTCTACCACTTGAGCCACAGTGCTACTTATAGCTTTTTCTCAGTGGTTTGGGGATGAGAGTTTCATCGACTTTCCTGCCCAAGATGGTTTCCAACCTTGATCCTCAGATCTCAGCCTCCTGAGCAGATTACAAGTGTGAGCCACTTCAGCATGTTTCTGCACACATTTTACTTCATTCTTGGCCTCTGTTGTGAAGATAAGTTATATCTCTGGGAAAATTGAGGCAGATATTTTGCTGTAAGCTCAAACAACAATTTAGGTGAGGATTACAATCTAATAGTGACATCCATCTCCTGAATTGGCTCCTCTTCTCTGCTTTTCCTCTATTCTTCCTCCTGCCCACTCTTACATTAGAGATACAGAAGATCCTCTTAGCATTTAGCTTTCTGTGTGTCCTTAGAACTATAGTATTTATTGAGAGGTTTTTGGTAAGGTAGGGGTGTGTGTGTGTGTGTGTGCGTGCGCGCATGCGTGCGAGTGTGCCAGGCACTCTTGGCTCATGCCTGTAATCCTAACTATTCTGGAGGCTAAGATCTGAGAATCTCAGTTTGAAGCCAGGCCAGGCAGAGAAGTTCCTGTGAGACTCATCTCCAATGAACCACTCAAAAACCAAAAGTGGGGCTGTTTCACATTGGTAGAGTGCTAGCCTTGAGTAAAAGGGCCCTGAGTTCAAGCCCCACAACTGACCAAAAAAAAAAAGAAAAGAAAACAGAGCTGCTGTAATCCCAGTCAGTACTCTACTGGTTATGGCTGGAGGATTGTACATTTGGGGCCAGCTTGTGCTACACAAACCTTGTGTCAAAAAAAATAACTAAATACACTAGGCAATATATGTCAAGGGCTGGCCTTATTACTTTTCTTCTCGTTGCTGAGGTTTGAAGCCAGCCTTGGGCTCCTTCATAGGTGTTCTTAGCACTTGAGCCACTCCACCAGCCCCCAAGGACTGTTTCACGCATTGAAATCATTATTCACTTTCCTTGTAGCTATCCAGTCAGCTCGCTGCTATTCCCATGGGTCACATGAGACAGATGAGGAGTTCGATGCTCGCTGGGTGACATACTTCAACAAGCCAGACATAGATGCCTGGGAACTGCGTAAAGGTAAGTGGAACATGGGCACACTTGTCTGTTCTGGTATGTAAGAATGAACTGAATTCACTACTTGGTTGAAAGCAGTTATTTTGAAAACATACATAGTGTAAACAAGTTTCTAAAGTGTTTCCGTAGAGTAGAATTTTTAAGCCTGGAATTTTTTTTTATTTTTTATTTTTTTGTTGGTCATGGGGCCTGAACTCTGGGCCTGAGCGCTGTCCCTCAGCTCTTCAGCTCAAGGCTAGCGCACTACCACTTGAGCCACAGCACCCACTTCTGGCTTTTTCTAGTTATGTGGTGCTGAGGAATCCAGGGCCTTATGCATGTAAGGCAAGCACTCTACCACTGAGCCACCTTCCCAACCCCAAGCCTGGGGTTTTTTTGTTTGTTTGTTTTTTGTCGGTCCTGGGGCTTGAACTCGGCCTGAGTTCTGTCCCTCAGCTCTTCAGCTCAAGGCTAGAGCTCTACCACTTGAGCCACAGTGCCACTTCTGGTTTTCTGGTGGTTTATTGGAGATAAGAGTTTCACGGACTTTCCTGGACTTTCCTGCCCAGGCTGGCTTTGAACTGGGATCCTTAGATTTCAGCCTCCTGGGTAGCTAGGATTATAGGCGTGAGCCACCAGCACCCAGCTAGGCCTGGGGTTTTAAACCAGGATTTTTAAACTACTTAACATTTTGAGCCAGACAGTTCTTTGTCATTGGAGGAGGAGGGTGTCCTTTGCACTGTAGAGTACTTAAGCAGTATCCTCGGCCACTAGATACACACATAAATGCACACATATACATGCACACACAAAAACTATAGTTGTAGAAATAGTTGCTCAGTGTTCCTTGGGTGAGAAAATCCTAATTGAAAACCATTGCAGGGGGGAGACCGGGAAGGGATGTGAAGGGTAAACAAAGGAGGAGGCTGCAATGCTTGATAAGAAATGTACTTATTATCTTGCCCATGTAATTGTAACCCCTCTGTACAGTATGTTCACAATAAAAAAAATAAAATAAATTTCAATCCAAAAAAAAAAGAAAAATAAAGTCAGAAGGTGATTCAATCTAAAAAAAAAAAGAAAACCATTGCAATAGAAATAGGGCTAGCTGAGTAGAGAGAGGTGAGAGTTTTATTCCTTTCACATACTTTATACAAGCTGTCATTTGATTCTCTTCCAGTCTGGGTAATGGGCTGAGGGTTTTAATTTTTATTCTTAATCATGAGTTGCTTTGTTCTGGACTCGCATGTTTCTTTTAACATGAACAAGTGGCATTAATTATTATCTCAAACCAAAAATTCCATATGTGGTTGTATGGCTTACACATGACTATGTTCACTTGTATCCTTTGTTTAAATATCTTACAATAATGACAGCAATAAACCTAAGTGCTTTAAGGCTTCTCTGCTGGAATGTAATGACTTCATTGTGCTGTAGCCAGGGAACTTGTTAATGAATAATCTTTAGAAGAAGTAATGAAATAACAGCAATTCTGCATTCCCATTAAGAGAGTCTAGTGGATATGTCATTTTGTGCAGACACGAAAGTAATCATGCCCAATCATTTTATGGTTGAATGTTTATGAGTCTACCCACTAGCATTTCTCTATAATGTCTTCTTAATACACTCATTTGGGCTTCATTAGCTCTCTCTCCTTAAGCATTTCTCTGCTTTCAATTGCTTTCCCAGGGGATCTATTTTAAAGCATTCAAAATATGTACATGTTAAGAGTTGAAGAGGTAAAATGCTTTTTTTTTCTTTTCTTTTTGTTTTTGTCAGTCATGGTGCTTGAACTCTGGGCCTGGGCACTGTCCCTGCGCTCTTCAGCTCAAGGCGAGTGTTCTTCCTCTTGAGCTACAGCGCCACTTCCGATTTTCTAGTGGTTTATTAGAGATCAGAGTCTCGTGGACTTTTCTGCCCCGCTGGCTTTGAATCTCGATCCTCAGATCTCAGCCTCCTGAGTAGCTAGGATTACAGGCGTGGGCTACCAGCGCTCAGCTTATTTTCTTATTTGAAAAGATATTATTATGAAAATAGAACTTTAATTGGTCTGGGAAGGTGGTTCAGTGGTAGAGTGCTTGCCTCACACGCATGAGGCCCTGGCTTTGATTCCTCAGCACCATATAAGCAGAAAAAGCGGGAAGTAGTGCTGTGGCTCAAGTGGTAGAGCACTAGCCTTGAGCTGAAGAGCTGAAGGACAGCGCCCAGACCCAGAGTTCAGACCCCATCACCAACTGAAAAACAAAATAAAATAGAACTTTAGTTGATGAAGAGTTTTTCCTTTAGCCTGTGAGCTATTTATTTATTTATTTATTTATTTTTGAATCCGAAAATTCAATCATCAATTTTATTATTAGCTGGGGTTTTTTTGTTTGCTTTTTGGTTCCAGTCTTGAGGCTTAAACTCAGGGCCTATCCCTGAGCTTTTGTACTCAAGGCTAGTGCTCTACCATTTGAGCCACAGCTTCACTTTCAGCCTTTTGGTTAGTTGGAGATAAGTCTCAGTCTTTCCTGCATGGGCTGGCTTTGGACTGCAACTCTCAGATCTCAGCCTCCTGAGTAGCTGGGATTATAGGCATGAGCCACCAGTACCCAGCTTACTATTATTTTTTTTTAATTGTAATTAAGTGATTACATAAATTTCACAAAATTCACAGTATTATGAGATAGTGATATTTAAAGTCACAAACACATTCTAACCTTCCTGGGGCAAGTTGTTTTTTTATCATGGTCTATAAAGTTTATGAATTCTGTGAGCTTTGACGATGCAGTTATTTCTTCCACATCGGGTGATATGGACGTTTCTATCCTTTCGCTTTGTGTCAGCCGTTCCCTCTTTCCTGCTCATTCCCTCCCTCCCATCGCTGCCATTGAGTTGCTTAGTTCATTTTGATCAATGTCCAGTGCAGCTAAGGGGTCCTGCTGTTGTATGTTTTCCCCTGTGTTGAGTTATTTATTATATAATTCAACTAATATACTGTGGAAGATCCCCTATGATCTTAACCATCTAGAATGTGTTAACACTAGTTTCTCATGGGTTTCATAGAAAATAGAGGCTCAAACAGATAAAGTTGCTTGTCTTCTTTTAAATTGACAGGGATGAACACACTTGTTGGCTATGATCTGGTTCCAGAACCCAAAATCATTGATGCTGCTTTGCGGGCATGCAGACGGTTAAATGATTTTGCTAGTGCTGTTCGCATCCTAGAGGTGGTTAAGGTCAGTGAAATGACAGTGAATGGAAAGGTTGTTCTAGAACTGGGAACCCTGTTGATAAGGTATCAGTGTGTTGTATATTTGAATTTGTTAAAATAATCTAAAATTTGGGTTTGTTGTTGTTGTTGTTGTTGGGGGAGGTGGTCGTGGGGCTTGAACTCTGGGCCTTTGTGCTGACCCTCAGCTCTTCAGCTCAAGGCAAGCACTCTACCACTTCCAGTTTTCTGGTAGTTAATTGGAAATAAGAGTCTCACAGCTTTTCCTGTCTGGGCTGGCTTTGAACTGTGATCCTCAGATCTCAGCCTCATGAGCCACTAGCGCCCTGCTAAAATTTGGGGTTTAAAATAATGAACATTAATTGTACAAACTGCTCGGGACGGAGATCTGAGGATCACAGTTCAAAACCAGCCCAGGCAGGAAAGTCCATGAGATTCATTTTTAACCACCAAAAGGCTGAAAGTGGAGTTATGGCTCAAGTGGTAAAGCAAAAGCTCAGAGACAGCACCTGTGTACCTGTGTTCAAGTCTCAGAACTGGTATACACGGGGCTGGGAAGGTGGCTCAGTGGTAGAGTGCTTGCCTTGCATGCCTGAGGCCCTGGGTTCGATTCCTCAGCACCACATAAGCAAAAAGAAAAAAGCCGGAAGTGGTGCTGTGGCTCAAGTGGTAGAGCATGGTAGAGTGCTAGCCTTGAGCTGAAGAGCTGAGGGACAGTGCCCGGGCCCAGAGTTCAGGCCCTATGACCTGACCCAAAAAAAACCAAAAAGAACTGGTATACACACAAAAAAGATGTGCTTGAGTATATAATTCAAACTAATCAAGAAGCTGAAAGAAGCTGAAATCACATGAGCCTATTTCAGAGCCTGCCCAGACAAATCCTCATGACTCCCCCCCCCCCCCCCCCCCCAGCTTGAACTCTGGACTTAGGCACTGTCCCTGCACTCTTCAGCTCAAGTCGAGCGCTCTGCCACTTGAGCCACAGTGCCACTTCCGGTTTTCTACTGGTTTATTGGAGATAAGAGTCTCACGGACTTTCCTGCCTGGGCTGGCTTTGAACCTCAATCCTCAGTCTCAACCTCCTGACTAGCTAGGATTACAGGTGTGAGCCACCGCCCTCATGACTCTTACCTCCAGCAAAAAGCTGGAAAAGGAGGCATAGCTCAAGTGGTAGAGGTTTGGGTGTTCAAGCTCCAGTATTGACTTTTAAAAAAATGCACAAAGCTGGGCACTGGAGGCTCACGCCTGTAATGCTAGCTACTCAGGGGGCTGAGATCTGAGGATCGTGGTTCAAAGCCAGCCTGGGCAAGAAAGTCCTTGAAACTCTTATCTCCAGTGAACCGCCAGAAAACCGGAAGTGGCGCTGTAGCTCAGGCGGTAGAGTGCTAGCCTTGAGCTGAAGATCTGAGGGACAGCGCTCAGGCCCAGAGTTCAAGCCCCACAACCAACAAAAAAAAAGAAAAAAATGTACAAGATATCTTTTTATTCAGTTGTTTGCAATTCTATTTGAGAATTTATCTGAAGGAGATAACGGACGTGAGAAAGCTTAACTGCAAAGGGTTTTTTTTTTTCTTTTTTTTTGGGGGGGGGGTCCATTCGTGGGCCTGAACTCTGGGCCTGGGCGCTTTCCCTCAGCTCTTCAGTTCAAGGCTAGCACTCTACCACTTGAGCCACAGCGCCACTTCTGGCTTTTTTTTTTCTGCTTATGTGGTGCTGAGGAATCGAACCCAGGGCCTCATGCATGCAAGGCAAGCCCTCTGCCACTGAGCCACCTTCCCAGCCCTGCAAAGGGTTTTTATCTTGTTGGTCTTTGTGATATGAAATGAATGTTAGTGGTTTCAGAACAGATAATATCCAACTCAGTACTGTAGAAATGAGTGTTAAACTGAGTATTTGTGAGAAGTCTCCTGCCCTGGACATTCATGTTCTCTGTCTGTAACAGAGAAGTTCAAGGGAGAAGTGACATTTTTTTTTTTTTTTTGAAATGGAAGTGACATTCGTTATAACGAGTAAGATAATTAAATGGCTCTGTAGGCGATCAGTCCATTCAGCACTGGTAGTTAATTCAGTTAGGGTCTCAAATTGGAAGCAAATTAAAAAACTTTCCCTGTGTTAATTTAATCTTTCTTGTTGCCTGCTAGGCATATTTAATTATCTTTACAAAATTCTGTCATCACCATCTTCTTTTCCAGTCATTCCAGATTTGTCATTTATTTTTTTATTTTTTTTGTTGGTCATGGGGCCTGAACTCTGGACCTGGGCGCTGTCCCTCAGCTCTTCAGCTCAAGGCAAGTACTCTACCACTTGAGCTACAGTGCCACTTCCAGCTTTTTTTGCTTATGTGGTGCTGAGAAATGGAGTCCAGGGCCTCATGCATGTAAGACAAGCGCTCTACCATAGAGCCACCTTCCCACCTGTCTTTGTTATTTTCATTTATTTTTATTTTTTGTAGTATTGGAGGTTGAACTCAAAGCCTAGAGCATACTAGGCAAGTGTTCTCACCCATGGGCCATGAACCCCGACTCGTTGTTCTATTTGTTTTTTGGTTTGGGGTTTTCTTTTTGGTCAGTTTTGGGGCTTGAATACTGGGCCTGGGCACTGTCCCTTCATTCTTCAGCTCAAGGCGAGCACTCTACCACCTGAGCCACTGTGCCACTTCCGATTTTCTGGTGGTGAATTGGAGATAAGAGTCTCACTGCCTTTCCTTCCCTGGGCTGCCTTTGAACCGTGATCCTCAGATCTCAGTCTCCTGAGTAGCTAGGATTATAGGCGTGAGCCACTGGTGCCCAGATGTTTATATGAGTTTTTGAGACAGGGTCTCATTAACTTCACTGCTCAAATTATCTTTAAAACTACGAGCACAGAACCTGTGTTGAGTCTGCTACTAGCTTCTATAAATGATTAAAAGCTTTTTCAAATTCCTTTTGTTAACAGAGACAGTTTTCAAGAAAGTTAACTGTGACTATTCTCTTTGTCAACAGGACAAAGCAGGACCTCATAAGGAAATCTACCCCTATGTTATCCAGGAACTTAGACCAACTTTAGATGAACTGGGAATCTCCACGCCTGAAGAACTGGGCCTTGACAAGGTGTAAACCTCCACAGGTAAAGAGCGTGCCACTTCCTGCAAGAGGAGATTGGAGGTTGATGCTCAGCACCCAGAGAGGCTGGTCTGGCCAGAGGTGGTGGCCCAGTGACAAGTGAGATGATGGTTTCTAGCTGTTAGCATTTATACCTCTTTCCATGATGTAAAGATGCCATGAGGATACCATAACTGAAAAGTGTCCATGTGAACTCCTTCAGGCATAAAGTAGCATAGATGACAGACAGCACAGTGTGTTCGTGTATCCGCATTTGCATTTCCAAATGAGGTCATTTTGCCATAGTTCATTTGTGGGTTGATTGTTTTTTCCCCCAAGAAAACAGTACTCTACATAGTTACATTAGAAGCCTCTGTGTGCCCTTATTTTTAGTAGAGTTTGTCTGATATCACTGTGTGTTTTATTAGAACTAAATAATAGGTCCATACCCATCATTCAGTGATAAAGCTTTGTGGTTAACTTGTTCTCTATGGAAAGACAAACCAATACAACCACAGGATTGTCTAGATACTAGATAGGGTACAGAGCAATTCTTTCTCAAAACAAAAAACCACCAGATGGCGGTGGCTTACGCCTGTAATCCTAGCTACTCAGGAGGCTGAGATCTGAGGACCACTGTTCAAAGCCAGCCCGGGCAGGAGATTTATCTCCAGTAACCCACTAGAAAAACGGAAGTGGTGCTGTGCCTCAAGTGCTTGCCTTGAGCTGAAATGCTGAGGGACAGTGCCCAGGCCCAGAGTTCAAACCCCACAACTGACAAAAAACCAAAAACTAGGCTAGGTGCTACTGGCTCACATCCATAATTTTAGCTCTTCAGAAAAGCTAAGGTTGCTGGGAGTGTGGCTTAGTGGTAGAGAATGCTTGCCTAGCATTCATGAATCCCTGGGTTTGATTCCTTAGTACCACATAAACAGGAAAGGTCAAAAGTGGCACTGTGGCTCAAGTGGTAGAGTGCTAACCTTGAACAAAAGAAGCTCAGGGGCAGTGCCCAGGTCCTGAGTTCAAGTCCCAGGACTGCAAACAAAGAAAAAGAAAGAAAAAAAGCTGAGATCTGAAAAATATTGTTCAAAGTCAGCCTGGGCAGAGAAATCTGAGATTATCTCCAGTATACGAGGCCCCGAGTTCTGTTCCTTCCATCAGAAATAATGCAAATAAAACAACTTTAAAAGCTTTTATTTTTATATTTTTTAAAATTTTTTTAGTTTTGTCAGTTGCGGGGCTTGAATTCAGGGCTTTGGATGCTGTCCCTCAGCTCTTTTTTTTTTTTTTTTTTTGCCAGTCCTAGGGCTTGAACTCTGGGCTTCGGTACTATCTCTTAGCTCCCTTTTACTTAAGGCTAGTGCTTTACACTTGAGCCACAGTGCCACTTCCAGCCTTTTCCATGATTAATAAGAGATGAGTATCACAGACTTCCTGCCCAGGCTGGGTTTGAACCACAGTCCTCAAATTTAGTCCTCAAATCCTCCTGAGTAGCTAGGATTAATTTTTTGTGCTGCACCTCACGCTCTCTTGCTCTCACTTGGCTTTTTTCCTCAAAGCTGGTGGCCTGTTACATGAGCCACAGCTCCACTTTTGGCTTTTTGCTTGTTAATTGGAGCTAAGAGTCTCCTGACTTTCCTGCCATGGCTGGCTTTGAACGACAATCCTCAGATTTCAGCCTCAATCCTGAATATCTAGGATTACAGGTGTGTACCACTGGTTCCTGCTTACTTTTTTAAACACTTTTTACCAAACACCTTTTTTTGTGTGTGCTGGTCATGAGCTTGGCCACTGTCCCTGAGCTTTTTCACTGAAAGCTAGTACTCTACCACTTAGAGACACAGCTCCATTTCTGGTGATTAACTGGTTATCAGCGTCTCGTGGACATTACTGCTGGGGCTGGCTTTGAACCATGATCCTCAGATCTCAACCTCCTGAGTAGCTAGGATTACAGGTGAGCCACTGGCACCTGGCTTATTTCTTAAATAGGATTGCTACCTGTTATTAATCCTTTCTTTAATGATTCTTTGTGTTTTACAGATGGGCTTCCCACAGACTTATTGGAACTGCTACTTGATTATCAACAGTCACCTGGAAATGCTGATGATGACATATTACCTTATTTGAACAAATTTTCCTTTATTGAGTATCAAACCATGTAATGGTAACTTGGACTTTAATAAAAGGAAAATGAGTTTGAACTGAAACAAGCTGTCGGCTGTCTGCATTGAGAAGTAGAAGATGCAGTGTGCTGGGGCATTGCTTTCGGTTTCGTTGTCTTCCTATAACACACTGGCTGCAACGCTGAAGAGCTTCGGATGTGAAGGCTGCTGCCCCAGCATAGTTAGTGCTCTGCCTGATAAACTAGCTGACGGCTAAAATGTCACTTCAGCATTCCTATTGCTTTAAGTGGCAGGGCCATCAAGCACCTGTGTTAGGAACAGATTATATAATTCCCTAAGCAGGCAAAATAAGTTTCAAAGTGGTCACTGAGAAATGGTTCCAGTAGTAGAGCACCTGTTCAGTAAACGGGAAGTCGTGCATTTAAGTCCCAGTCAGTATTGGAGAGAAAAATGATGCTCTTTTGTGTTGGGATGTGGCTCAAGTGGTAGAGCACAGGTCTAACAAGCATAAGGTCTTGAATTTAATATTATTCTCCCTCTCACCACCCCCACTTCCCCCCAAAAAAAAAGAAAGACAAGTGGTCACTGAAATAGTCTGGAGAATGCTCAATGTGGTAGTCAGCGCCTGTCATACCTGTGTTGTGTTCCTTCCCTGCCAGCTTTTTTTTTTTTTTTTCTTGGCCATTCCTGGGGCTTGAACTTGGGGCCTAGGCACTGTCCCTGAGCTTCTTTTGCTAGCACTCTACCACTTGAGCCACAGCACCACTTCTGGCCTTTTCTGTGTATGTGGTACTAAGGAATTGAACCCAGGGCTTCATGCATGCTGGGCAAACACTCTGTCACTAAGCCATATTCCCAGTCCTGCTCTTTTGTTTTGTTTTGTTTTTGGGGGGGAGGGGTCCGGTTGTGGGGCCTGAACTCTGGACCTGGGCTCTGTCCCTCAGCTCTTCAGCTCAAGGCTAGCACTCTACCACTTAAGCCACAGCGCCACTTCTGGCTTTTTTTTTCCTGCTTATGTGGTGCTGAGGAATCGAACCCAGGGCCTCATGCATGCAAGGCAAGCGCTCTACCACTGAGCCACCTTCCGAGCCCTAGCCCTGCTTTTTTATTATGTGCCTGCCATTACTTGGGCTTGAACTCAGGATTTAGGCACTGTCCCTTAGCTTTTTCTCTTAAGCTTAGTGCTCTATCACTGGAGCCACAGCTCTGCTTCTGGTTTTCTGGTGGTTAATTGGAGATAAGAGTCTCAAGGACTTATCCTGCCTAGGCTGGCTTCAAACCATGACCCTCAGATCTCAGCCTCCCAAGCTAGGATTACAGGCATGCACCACCACTATCCAGCTTTTCTTTTCTTTTCCTTTTTTACGGTTGTCAGGCTTGAATTCAGGGCCTTGCTTGTGTCCCTTAGCTCTTTTGCTCCAAGCTAGAGCTCTACCACTTTGTGCCACAGCTCCATTTCCAGTTGTCATGTGGTTCATTGTAGATGAATGTCATGGATTTTCTTATCTGGACTGGTTTTGAATCAAGATCCTCAGATCTCAGCCTCCTGAGTAGGAAGAATTACATGCATAAGCGTGCTGGCTAAGTCTGAGACTGCTACCTTTAGCAATTAACCAGCAAAAAGCTTAAGCAGAGCTGTGGCTCACGTAGAGTTCCAGCCATAAGTGAAAAGGCCAATTGAGAGGCCAAGCTAAAAGAAATGTATGCTATTGGGGTTGGGAAGGTGGCTCGGTGGTACAGTGCTGGCCTAGCATGCATGAAGCCCTGGGTTTGATTCCTCAGTTACCAAATAGACAGAAAAAGCCAGAAGTGGTGCTGTGGCTCAAGTGGTAATGTGCTATCCTTGATCAAAAAGAAGCTCATCAGGGACAGTGTCCAGGCCCTGAGTTCAAACCCCAGGACTGGCAAAAAAAGGAAAGAAAATGTCATTTTTATCTTCATTTTTAGTTAACTTAGACCCATAAAACTTTTAAGACGGAAAGATTTACAGAATAGTTTAACTAAATTAATAAATTGTAATCTGGTGATAATTATGCTGAACTTTCTTGGCCCATTTAGACATCAAAACTACTCAGCTCAGATGAACCTCCTCTCTCAGCCTCCAAGCTAGGAAAGGCAGCAAAATCAGGGGAAAAAACAAAACTACACGGGGACCTTAGTGCAAATTTCGTTTATCCCTTAACTGAATTTGGTTTTGACCAAGTTTTAAGTCTCATTTCACAGGTCACACAGATTAAACAATCATAAAATTGATGTTTCTGAAGGTTTGAAACAGTGCAGTGCTGAGATCCACCAAAATGATGAAGTTTTTTTTTTTTTTTTTTGGTCGGTTGTGGGGCTTGAACTCTGGGCCTGGGCGCTGTCCCTCAGCTCAAGGCAAGCACTCTACCACTTGAGCTACAGTGCCACTTCTGGTTTTCTGGTGGATTATTGGAGATAGGAGTCTCAGGGTCTTTCCTGCCCGGGCTGGCTTTGAACCGCGATCCTCAGATCTCAGCCTCCTGAGTAGCTAGGATTACAGGCGTGAGCCACCAGCGCCCGGCTATAATGAAGTTTTATATTACTGATTTTTCAAAAACTTCTCTCCTATCTGCTTAGGACCTAGTTGTAATCAGCACTTTTACTTGGTTGGCTCTAGGGGCTTGGAGGCTGCAGTATTGACCTACCCTTCGGAGGCCAATTTATTAGCCTCGGAACTAGTCTCCTGAGATTCAGCAGTTCCAGCAACCATCTGGAGCTTATTTCCAGCCAGCCACAAACGAGCAGAAACATCCCTGAGGGGCTGGGGAAGTCAAGAGCCTCGACACGGCCCCTGCCCTGCCACACACACACTCAAGGGTGCGCCTCGCCCCAGTTCACTTGAAGCTGGGGAACAGGTACTGACGGGCCCCGCCTTTCCCGGGCGGTGCTGCGCCCGGCCCGGCCCGGCCCGGCCCGCCTAGCGCCCTGGCCCCGCGCAGCCCTCCCCGCTCCAACGTTCCATTTTAAGAAACGGGCTTGGCTGAGGGTCAGCCTTAGCCACGCCTCAGGCCAACCCAGGGCCTCCTGCGTCCGCGCCCCGAGCGTGGCGGCTGACCTGGGAGCTCCAGCCAGCCTCCGCCCCACCGGATTTCCCAAGGTGCAGTTAAAACCACTGAAAAAGGCGGGGCGGGCCGGAACCTTTGTGCCGACCCCCCGCGGCCGGCGGGCCGGAAGGCGCGGGCAGGCACGGCGGCCCGCGTCTGCGCCTGCGCACCGCCTGCACGCTGAGGGGAAGCCGGCGGCGGCGGCGGCGCGGCCGTCGCGAGGCGGGGCTGCGGGGCGGGGCCTGGCCATGGCGACCGCGGAGCTCTGCGGGCACGCCGTGCGGGGTTCCACCCCGGGGCCGCGGCCCGGAGGGGCCCCGCGGCCGGCGGAGCGCGCCCCAGGGGCCGTGGAGAAGCGGGGGCCCTACATGGTGACGCGCGCGCCGTCCCTTCAGGCCAAGCTGCGTGAGTGGGGCCGGAGGGGGCCGGGTGCGGGGCAGGACGGACGGGAGGACCGGGGCCGGGGCCGGAGCCGGGGCAGGACGGACGGGAGGACCGGGGCCGGGCCGGGCCGGGGCCGGGGCCGGGGCCGGGGCAGGACGGACGGGAGGACCGGGGCCGGGCCGGGCCGGGGCCGGGGCCGGAGCCGGGGCAGGACGGACGGGAGGACCGGGGCCGGGCCGGGCCGGGGCCGGGGCCGGGGCCGGGGCAGGACGGACGGGAGGACCGGGGCCGGGCCGGGCCGGGGCCGAGGCGGGCTCGGGGCCCCCCGGCGCGGTCCCCGCAGGGGAGATCTCCCTTCCCGCCTGCGCCCGGGGACGCCCGCGCGGGGCAGGCCGGCTGACCCGGGCCCTTTGGCTTGCAGAGAAGCACCGGGACCTGGCCAAAGCCGTTCTGCGGAGGAAAGGCATGCTGGGGGCCTTGCCGAGCCGCCCCGACTCTTCAGGGAAAAGGTCTCCGCGGGCGCCGCCTCCTCGCCGGCGGCTTCCCCAGGCGGGCCCGGGTCTCCACCTGGGGGGAGGCCGAGCTAGTGATGCCCAGCCGGCGACCCGGCCAAACATGGGAGGAGGGACCACCTCCTTCCTCCCTCTAAGGCCTTGACAGTGTGGAGCGAAGGGCATGAGAATAGGGATTTGTGTCAGCCGATAGGATCCATCCCAGGATCTCGGGGTTGGGGTGGAGGGGTCTGCGGGGACGGCCATGCTGGGTGGGTGGTGGTGGTGGTGGTTTTTAAATCTTTTGTGGGTTTTGTTTTTGTGTGCCTGTACTGGGGCTTGAACTCGGGGCCTGTGCAGTGTTCCTTAGAGTTTCCGTTCAAGGCTGGAGGGTCTACCACTTGAACCAGACCCCCACGTCCGGCTTTTTGCTGATTAATTGCAGATAAGAGTCTCATCGACTTTTCTGCCCAGGTTGGCAGAGCCTCTGATTTCTGCCTTCAGAGTAGCTGGGATTACAGGCATGAGCCACCCACCCCTGGCTCTGTGCTTTTTTTTTTTTTGTCAGTCATGGAGCTTGAACTCGGCTTGAGCGCTGTCCCTGAACTTTTCAGCTCAGAGCAAGCACTCTACACTTGGAGCCACAGTGCCACTTCCGGTTTTCTGGTGGTTTATTGGAGATGAATCTCAAGGACTTTTCTGCCCGAGCTGGCTTTGAACTATGATCCTTAGATCTCAGCCTCCTGAGTAGTTAGGATTATGGGCGTGAGCCACTACTCCAAACATTGTTGTTTTTTTCTAATCCTCCATTTAAATAAGGGAGCAGGGTGGTTGCTTTCCTTGGTTTATGAAAGGGGGAAAGGTATTTGGAGCTACAGTCATGAGAGCTGAGCAACCAAGTAGAAGGCAAGTCCAGAGGATGGCAGCTCTCCCTCAACAAGGGTGAGACCTCTGGCTTTCTCTGAACTTCCTGGTGTCTCATCCCCTCTCCCCTCAGGTCAGTGAAGTTTAACAAGGGCTACACTCCTCTTAGCCAGAGTCCAGATGAGAACCTGGTGTCCCTCGACTCTGACAGGTGAGTGCTCCTTCTGCAAGTACCCCTTGGGGGAGTGGCTGGGAAACACCGCAACGCTTAGTGCCTCTGCTTGTTTCCTGACTCCTGCAAGCCCTCCGTGTGCATTTCAGGGCTGTTCTTTCCCTGGCATGGCTGGGTTATAAGATTCATTGGTGATTGGGAGATTGTCCTGACCTCTAGTATCTGCGCTGTTAGTGTAGTGATCCTAGTCCTGCTGGAGCCAGTTGAGGGAGCCGTTTGTACTCCCCGCAGGTGCTGGGCTTGCATCCTGTGGTGTGTGGTCTTTGCTTCACAAGTCCTGCAGACCCTGCTGCATGCTCTGCTCTCTGTCAGCCACTGTGCCCAGCAGGCCTCCTGCAACTGACCATGTTCCTCTTCCAGCGACGGGGAGCTGGGATCCAGATCCTCCGGCTACTCCTCTGCAGAGGCAAGTCCAGAGCGTCTGCGCAGGGCCAGGCTGCAGGCTGCACCTCCACCACTGGCAGTGGTGTTCGGTGTCTGTTGTATGCAGGGCACTTTATCGGACTTCTGGGCTGCTCTCCGACTTTCCATTCTACCCTCTTCCTCTAGCAGAGGTATAGGTATCTTAGGAAAATCCAGGGCTGTAAATGACCTCAATCATCTTTAAGTTTTAGCTAGATAAATGCTGGTGGCACACATCTGTAATCCTGTTCAGAGGACTGAAATCAGGATTGTGGTTCCATGTCAGCCTGGGCAAAACAGTTCATAGGACCCCTGCTCAATAGAAGAAGCTGGGTGTGGTGGTGCACTCTGGCCATCCCAGCCATACAAGAAGCATAAACAGAAGGATTACTGGGCACTGGTAGCTCAAGCCTGTAATCATAGCTACTGAGGAGGCTGAGATCTGGGGAGTATGGTTAGAAGCCAGCCAGAACAGACAATCTGAGAGACTCTCTTCTCCAGCTATCCACCAAAAAGCCGGAAATAGAGCTATGGCTCAATTGGTAGAGCGCCAGCCTGGAGTGAAAAAGGTAAGGGTCATTGCATAGGTCCTGAGTTCAAGGCCCTAGGACCAGCACACACAAAACCTAGGAAAAAGGAGTTCGCCCAGAAAACTTTCCCCAGCTTTGCATATTTCATCTACACAGTTGAATGGTGAAAGCCTGTTGACTGCCCCACTTCCCCGAGCCCCAGAGTTCTGCCGGTGGGAGGGTGGCGGGCCTGAGGGTGGCTGATCTGACAAGTGCAGACAAGACTACCCCCTCCCACCCAGACCCATCCTCCTGGACCACTCCCTCCATCCCGCCCTGCTGTCACGCCTGTATTCAGCCTTGCTTCCCAGTGGGAAGGGGCCACGGAATAACTTAGAAACAGTCAAAAATTTGACATTTGTATCCAATGTCTCAGGACTTCTCATGAGATCAGCTCCCCCAGGGGTGGAGTCCAATAAGCCTGGACAGTACTGGCCAAGCCTAAAGGGTGCCCATCTACCCTGCTGCACCATGACACAGATGTCGCCTGCTCCTCTAGTCACGGGATTGGGTCTCGGGGGCAGGGTGTGGCCAGGAAGCACTGGTGTGGAAGCCCCGCCTGCCTTTTGCACTGTGCTCTCCTCTTTGCATCTTTGCTCATAGTTCCCTGACTCCACCTCTTAGCAGGTGAACCAGGATGTGAGCCGGCAGCTGCTAGAAGATGGCTACCACCTGGATGAGATCCCAGACGATGAGGCCCTTGACCTCATCCCTCCCAAGCCCATGGCGTCCTCATGCTCCTGCTCCTGCTGTCTTGGGGACTCGTCCTGCACTCTTCAGTAGGCACAGCCTCCCAGCACAGGCCCTGCTGTCAGCCCGCAACTGCTGGAGGCACCGACCTCTGGTCCAATCGGGGACTTGCAGGCTGCTGCCCCCGCCATGATTCAGGAGTTAGGTGGAATTGTGCGGTTCGTTGGAGTCAGGGCGCTGTCTGTGATGGCAGCTGGCAGAGGTGGCTCAGAACCCTGCAGACATCTTGACTGGAGCTTGATAGTAGGGTGTTTAAGGGAAGGGGAAGAACTGCACCCAATCTGCACCAGGCAGCATCGTATCAGAGTAGAAAACAGCACTCCAGCTTGCAGCTGGAGTCTAATGACTGAGTCCACGCGTGCTCCTCGTTCTAGCTGTCAGGTGGACTAGCAGCTTCACTTGTAGGGATGCACAGTGCTAGGGCAGGAAGTCTTGAAGCTGGTCTTGTGTGCAGCTGGGCTGTGACCTGGGGTGTGTTCTGCTGTTCTAGCCATCTGGGTGGGGCTTGTGACTGGCCAGCCCTTCCCGGGTAGGGTAAAATGTCTCATACTTGTGTATTTATTTGTATTTCCTTGCCTGGGATGTTTCTTCAAAGGTTAAAAGTTACTGCTGCTGTTCTCATAGCTACCAGCAGGGGGCAGCGCAAGGCCAGTCAGTGCCTTCCTGGTTGGCCTTGTCCAACTTGAGTAGCAGTGGATGAGAGGGTGTGACGGTGTGGCTTTGGCCACGGGACAGGGAGGAAAGCCCTGAGAACTCCCAGGCCCTGTCTGAGGTCAGTCTGCCAGCTCAGAAGCATGGGCAAGGGCCATCCTGGGCTTTTTCCTCTGCCCAGCTCCCTCTGCCTCAGAAGCTGGAAGTGTGCCTCTGCCAGAGCACTTGCTTGGCATGCGGAAGTGCTGTGCTCAGGCCCTGTGTGCAGAGCCAGGCCTGAAGAGGACAGCTGGGGTGGGCACTCGGTGGGAAGCCACATTTCCGTGAGGGACCTGGGCTACTGGAGAAAGTGGCAGGAGAACCCTCAAACCACATCCTCATTGTGGCCATTGCTGTAATGCACAGAGAAACATGGCCATCTGGGGGCCTCAGAGCCAGTGACCCATGGGGGAGGCTGCAGGACCAAGCAAGGTGGAGATGGCTGGGTGTTTACCACAGACCCAAATACAACCCATAAAGGGTGCCAAGAGCCAACCTGCCTTAATTCTGAGAAGGTGATGGTGGAGCGCCCACCTGGGTCTGGATGCTTTCCAGAGGTCTTGCACTTGACCTTTGTAAAAATAAATGCAGTCATTCCAGCTGTGCTGTGTCTGTTGAAGCAGGTTTAAGAAAGGCCTGGGTGTCCTGAGGTGAGGACAGCGGAGCGTGCTCTGTGTCTGTGGCCAGGCCTCCCCGGTGTCCCTCCCCCTCTGCGCTTCCCCCTGGGCCTTTTCCTTTTCTGGTTGTGGGATCTGAACTCAGAGCCTTGGCACTGTGCTTAAGCTTTTTTTTTTTTTTTTTTTTTTTTGGGCGGGGGGGTGTCGGTCGTGCGGTTTGAACTCGGCCTGGGCACTGTCCCTGCGCTCTTCAGCTCAAGGCGAGCGCTCTACCGCTTGAGCCACAGGGGCCACTTCCGGTTTTCTAGTGGTTTTATAAGTCTTATGGACTTTCCTGCCTGGGCTGGCTTTGAACCGTGATCCCTTGAGCTTCTTTTGCTCAAGGCTAACATGCTACCTGTTGAGCCAAACCTCTACTTCCAGCTTTTTGGTGGCTAATTGGAGGTGAGTCCTCCTGCCCAGGCTGGCTTCAAACCACCATCCTCTGATCTCAGCCTCCCAAATAGCTAGGATTGTGAGCCACTGGTGCAAGGCTGGTTTTAGGGGTTTGTCTCATTATAGGCCATGAGTGAAATGAGTTAGGTTTTTTTGGTAGTCGTGTCTTGAACTCAGGGTCTGGGCGCTGTCCCTCAGCTCTTCAGCATAAGGCTAGTGCCCTCCACTTGAGCCACAGTGCCTTCCGGTTTTCTGGTTGTTTATTGCAGATGAGTCTCATGGACTTTTCCTGCCTGGGCTTGCTTTGAACCGTGATCCTCAGATCTCAGCGTCCCGAGTAGTAGCTAGGATTACAGGCGTGAGCCACCAGTGCCCAGTGAAATGGGTTCTTACAAATCAACTTTCTTTATAGTGGGCTGCCCCTTCAAACTTTTTACTAAGTTTGAAGCTCAAAACCCAATTTTGCATGTTCTTTCAGGACCATGTTTGTATAGCCCAGGCTGATCTTGAACTTACAACCCTCCTGCCTCAGTCTGTTCTAGCTTGCAGTGGTGCCACCATACCAGCTGCAAACCATTTTGAAGGTGGTTTCCTGATGAAACTTCGGTGTGAGCAGAAGCCTAGCTTTTTTTTTTTTTTTTTTGGGGTCCGGTCGTGGGGCCTGAACTCTGGGCCTGGGCACTGTCCCTCAGCTCTTCAGCTCAAGGCTAGCGCTCTACCACTTGAGCCACAGCACCACTTCCGGCTTTTTTCTTTTTGCTTATGTGGTGCTGAGGAATCGAACTCACGGCCTCAGGCATGCAAGGCAAGCACTCTACCACTGAGCCACCTTCCCAGCCCAGCCCAGCCTTTTTGTCTTTTTGGTTTGTTCTGGAGACAGGGTCTGTGTAGCCCAAGCTGGCATGGAACTTGGGGTCCTCCTGTCCCAGCCTTCCCATGCCAGCCCCTGAGATAATTTCTCTGAGCCATAGCCCACTGGAGGAAACCAGTGGACCTGTCTCTGCTTACTGTGGAGTGACAGCATTTCTGACCATCACTGCACAGGCATGAAGGGGACCTGCGGTCTTCTCCCTGCCAGCTTGGGAGAGGTGCTAGGCTTCAGTATTCCCTGCCTCCTTGGAGGAGGGGCTGAGCCTCAGTACTTCCTGCCAGCTTGGAAGAGGCTTTGGCCCTCAGTACTCCCTACCTCCTTGGGAGAGGTGCTGGCCCTCAGGACTCCCTGCCTCCTTCGGAGAGGTGCTGGGCCTCAGTATTCCCAACCAGCTTAGGAGAGGCACTGGGCCTCTACTCCTTGCCAGCTTGGAAGAGGCGCTAGCTTGGGCTCACGGCGCTACATTGGGGAAGAGACCTGTCAGTTCTCTGGGCCACATGAAATCCACTGGGCTAGGGCTGGAGGTGCAGCTCCATGAGCACACACCTCGAAAGCACCAGGTCCCGGGTTTGATCCCAGCCCTGCCAAAAATGTTTCAGCTTTGCGGGCCAATTGGTGGGGTAGCCTCAGTGTGTAAGCAGAGCCAGAACTTGCCTGCTGGCCGAGGTGCTAACCCCTACTGAGGCATGAGTTCCAGGCTAGCCAGAGCCACACAGCCTGACACCACCTACCCCCTCCACCGAGGTGCTCTACCATTTGAGCCGCACCTCCAACCTGGCTTTTTGCTGGCTATTCTGGACTTGGAGTCTCATGGGCTTCCTGCATTGATCTCACGCCACAATCCTCCAGATCCTGGCCTCCTGAATAGCTAAGATTACAAACTCAAGCCCCTGGCCACACCCTGTTTAAAACAAACCAAAGCATCTGGGTTCAGCAGCTTACACCCATAATCCCCTCCTCAGTACATGGAAATTGAGGAGATGTGTTTGAGGCCGGCCCAGGCAACAATGTTAGTGGAACCCCATTGGGAGGTACACATGTAACCACAACTATGCAGCATGCTATGTGTGTGGTCAACATTGAGGCCCTTTGTGAAAAATAATCTAAAAAGGAGCTGGAGGCATGGTTCAAGTGACAGAGCCTTGCCTAGCAGGGCCCTGAGTTCAAACTCCAAAACAACCCTAAGAAGTTGAGAAGCTAGGCTGCGAAGGTGGCTTAGTGGTAGAGTGCTTGCCTAGCATGCATGAAGCCTTGAGTTCGATTCCTCAGTGCCACATACACAGAAAAAGCCTGAAGAGATACTGTGGCTCAAGTGGTAGAGTGCTACTCTTGAGCCAAAGCAGCTCAGGGACAGTGCCCAGGCCCTGACTTCAAGTCCCATGACTGACAAAAAGAAGTTGAGAAGCTAGGTGTGGGTGTGGTGACTACTGGAGGCTGCTCAGCAATCATGACCTTCAATTCGGGTCTGCAAACCTTCAGGAAAGGAGCAGAAGGCCTGCCTGCAAGCTGCGCAGCGGAGGCCAAGGCAGCCTCCCTCCCACACTTTCCACAAAGAGGCTTCTGGAATCCAGCCCACCCACCCCAGAACGCTGAATAGAGCAAAAGCAGTAACTTCCAGGGAGAAATTCCCGCCCACTTCGGGGAGAGGAATACCAGAGGCTGAGTGCACATGCCCCACAGCCTCCGCACACTATCTTTAATTGCACAGACAAGATGATCTGGGATTCTCTCTGCCTTCCCTGGAGCCGAGGCCGCTGCAGGAGTGGGTCTAGAGCTTGGGAGTCACCACAGCCTCGTGGCAAGGCTGGAGCTGCGGCCTGGGGAACGCGGGCCTGGCTCAGTGCATGAGGTCCTGGAGTGCTTGACTACCGCAGGGCCAGGGCAGCCTGGACCTGGACTCCTCCAACAGCTCCTCTGGCTCCGCCCCCAGCAGGGAGGGGCCTGAGAAGGCCGGGCTAGCACAGAGTTGGGGTGACTGGCCATGAGGGCAGGGAGGCTGTGGCCTCTACAGCAGACAGCAGGCCCGGAAGAGCAGCAGGTCTTGGGGTGCAGTGAGCTCCAGCGAGACATTCTCATTGGCCCCGATGAACAGCACAGCGCCCCGCTGCAGGGGGATGGGGGCCTGGGCCGCGGGGGTGCTGGCCGTCACGGTGCCCCGCACCACCAGGAGGATGCTGGCCGAGTCCACTGCCAGAACCTTGTACTCGGAGACGGAGCCAGGGACCTGGTCGGGAAGCAGAGCGGGGCAACATGGCTGGGCCTCCCTGACCACAGCCCACGTCAGACCCCTGGCTGCCCCGTGGGGTGTGGCTGACCCCCACTCACCTCCATTTTCATGACAGTGAAATCTGGCACAGGGGGGTCGTAGATGGAGAGGTAGGGGTCCCCCGGACTCTGTGTTGGGGGGAAGAGCCGGTCCTGGCTGGGGCTTGGAGTATAGTTGAGCATCTCACACAGGGTTGGCACGTCGATGAACTTGGGTGTCAGGCCAGCGCGCACCGTGTTGTCTGAGCACGCCATACACTCCACACAGTCTAGGGACGGGCAGCTGTCAGGACCTCCCCTGGGCCCACTACCCTCCCCCCAACACACACAGCCTTCAAATCCCAGCAAGCTGAGCTCAGGCTGGGCATGGGGGGGGTGGGGAGTCGCACCAGCCACAAGGGGGTGCCACTACCCTGCAATGGCCTGTGCAGAGGGGGCCTGAACTCAGCGCTGGGCACTGTCCCCGGAGCTCTTTTCCCTCAAGGCTGGCCCTTTACCACTTGAACCACAGCAGCCTTTTGGTGGTTCATTAGAGTTAAGAGTCTCACGGACTTTCCTGCCTGGGCTGGCTTTGAACTGCGATCCTCAGATCTCAGCCTTGTGCGTAGCTGACAGGCGTGAGTCACCAGTGCCCAGCTTGGAACATGGTGTTTTAGTGTGAGAATCTGGGTAGAGACTGCAGAGGCTGAGGCTGGAGGGAGAGGACGGCAGGCAGCCTGGCCCCGTGTTCAAGCTGGGTCCCTCGCCCGGCCCTCGGACAGGCATAGCACAAGTAGGGCCTACTGTCAAGTTGACCTTCACCACCCCTGCTGACTGGCCAGGCCAGAGCTGGACGCCTCTCCCCTCCCTGCGCCCCCAGGGCCTCGCTGACCACCCGGAGCTCACCTCCCTTCAGGTAGGCATGGGGTACGTTGGCCTCCAGAAACATGGCCTCTCCAGGCTGGAGGGTAAGCAGGTTCAGGAAGTAGATGGCAAAGCACCCGATGTCTCCCGGGTACTGCCGGTGCAGCTGCAGCAGGAGCTCCCCGCAAATGTCCTCCACGCTGTTCCCCGCAGACACTAAGGGTTACAAGCGCCCGAGGCTGTGTCCGCAGCCATGCCCTGGCCGAGGAGACTCAGCGTCGAGTCCCTGCCTGCTCAGGGCTGTGCTGTGCTGGGCGGCTACCACCAGCCCATCTCTTCAACTGCCTGCATGCCTGGCCTCTTGATTTTTGCATCCATACTGGGACTTGAACTCAGGGCCTGAGCCTTTTCACTCAAGGCTGGCACTCTACCACTTGAGCCACAGCTCTGCTTCTAGCTTTTTTGGTGGTTATGGGAGAAAAGTCTCACAGAGTTTCTTCCCTGGGCTGGCTTTGAACCTCGGTCCTTAGACCTCAGCCTCCTGAGAAGCTAGGATTACAGGCATGCCCACCGGTTCCTGGCAAGTCTTTGTTTCGGTTTAACTGCTTGTCCAAAGGTGAGTGACACCCATCAGCCATTTCTGATACTCTCCCCAGGCCTGCCTGCCCCCTGGAATGCATCTGAGGAAGAGCTATCTGCAGAGAGCACTAGACTTTGGTCCTATAGGAGAAGGATCTCCTGTCCCCTTCCTGCTCTCCAGCCACCAGACACTAGGTCTGTCTACACACAGGAAACAACCGCAAGGCTGGGAAGCAGCTCTGAATGTGTGTGGGAAGATACCAGAAGCTTCTAGGCTAGCCTGCCCTCAACCACCTAGAAAGGCCAGGAAGTGGCACTCCACAAACGGAGGTGGTCAGCAGTAGATTGCAGCTGGGCTAAGTGGTTAAGAGCCCTGTTCTTGGCTGGGAAGGTGGCTCAGTGGTAGAGCGCTTGCCTTGCATGCATGAGGCCCTGGGTTTGATTCCTCAGCACCACATAAGCAGAAAAACCCAGAAGTGGTGCTGTGGCTCAAGTGGTAGAGCACTAGCCTTGAGCTGAAGAGCTGAGGGACAGCGCCCAGGCCCAGAGTTCAGGCCCCACGACTGACTAAAAAAAAAAAAAAAGCATAAGGCCTCAAGTTAAAGCCCACGTACTGTGGTGTGTACACATGCGCGCGCGCGCACACACACACACACACACAACACCTTGTACCTGTCACCTGGGCACCTGCTCCTCCCAGCCGCCGCGCTCACCTTGCTGGGAAATCCTCTTCACCAACAGGTTAAGCTGCTCCACCACCACCTTCTTTTCACTCCTCATGAGATTGGAGAAGCAGCTGCGCAGAGCCGAGGCTGCAGCCTGGGTGTCGTTACTCACGCTCTGCCTCAGCTGCGTGGCTGCCTCATCTCCTGTCAGGAGCTGGAACTCAGGCACCTCTGCAGGAAGCCACACATGGGCCCGTATCAAGAACTGTGAGATAGAGCCCTCAGGGTTCCCGTCCCATATCTAACCACAGAGCCAGGCAACACTGAGCAAACTCGGTACTACAAAACAGCTGCTCAGTACCAGCCCTTGACAAGCCCGCCCAAGCCTGATCTCAGTGATCTGGCCCCAAGCAGTCCTCTAGTTCCTGACATCCAGCCCTGTGCCCCATCTCTGTTCCTGATCTGGCCGAGGTCCCCCTACATATCCCATGCTCAGTGCACATGCCCTCAGCGCTCAGCCCCACCGTACTCTTCAGAAAGGTCACAATCTCCTCAACTGGGCGGAAGCCACACAAGCCCTGGAAAGGGGTGAGGGCAATGGCCATCTCGGGCTTGTGGTTGGCATCAGGGTAGTGCTGTGGAGCCTGGAGATGCAGCTTCTCTGCTAGGTCCTGTGGGTGGCAAGGGAGAGGGAGGATGGTCAGGGAGCAGGGTTTACTCAGCAAGAACCTAGTCCCAGCTGAGCGCTGGTGGCTCACGCCTGTAATCCTAGTTACTCGAGAGCCTGAGATCTGAGGATTGTGGTTCAAAACCAGCCTGGGCAGGAAAGCCTATGAGACTCTGATCTTCAATAAATCACCAGAAAACCGGAAGTGGTGCTGTGGCTCAAGTGGTAGAGTGCTTGCCTTGAGCTAAAGAGTTGAGGGGCAGTGCCCAGGCCCAAAGTTCAAGCCCCACAAACCAAAAACCAAAAACACCTAGTCCCAGCTATGCACTAGTGGCTCACACCTGTAATCCTAGCCATTCAGGAGGCTGAGATCCGAGGATCACAGTTCAAAGCCAAGCCTTGGCAGAGTTCTCTCCAATGAACCACCAAAAAAGCCACAAGTGGAGATGCGGCTCAAGTGGTAGAGCATCAGCCTTGAGCACAAAAGCTCAGGGGTAGCACCCAGGCCCTGAGTTCAAGCCAGTCACGCTGAAGTCTTGCTCTCCACTCTTCTCCAGTTTCAGACACCAGTGGCTTGCTTCTTGTATCTGGTCAAGGCATGATGCAGAAATTAGGGGGTTCAGCCAACCCAGGAAAACAGGGCCAAATTTGGGAGGAGGGGAGGAGACTTGGACAACCTTTTAAGAAGCTTGGCTTGTGAGGCAGGAAAGCCAAACAGCAAGCCACACCATGTGTGACTTTGGCGACTCCTTCCTTTTTTTCTTTTTTTTTTTGTCGGTTGTGGGGCTTGAACTCTGGGCCTGGGCGCTGTCCCTCAGCTCTTCAGCTCAAGGCGAGCACTCTACCACTTGAGCTACAGCGCCACTTCCGGTTTTCTGGTGGTTTATTGGAGATAGGAGTCTCATGGTCTCTCCTGCCCGGGCTGGCTTTGAACCGAGATCCTCAGATCTCAGCCTCCTGAGTAGCTAGGATTACAGGCGTGAGCCACCAGCGCCCGGCTCTTCCTTCTCTCTTGTTTACCTATTTGGGCATGGCTGGGGTGTGGAGCCTCGGGAAGATTGGCTAGGGCACCTGTGCTGCCTGGGTGCTGCCCGCTCCCACAGAGCCAGCTGGAACATAGCAGGGTGGGTGAGGGGCAGCCAGAAACAACTCGAGCTTGGAGAGGCTCCCCTGGCACAGGCTGGCCAGCTGTTCACTCAGGACTTAAGACATGTCACCAGCTTCCGGCCTTCTGCAGCTAAATCAGGAGCCATTAGGCCTTCATTTAGCTCTGGGCTGGACCTTGGCTTAGGTGTCAGGGCCTTTTCTGTCCTGACCTCTGCTCCCCTCTGGCTTTACCTTGTTGGGGTGTGCCTGGATGGACAGGGCTGTTTCCACTGAGAGCACTTTGAAGAGGAAGGGAAGCTTGCCGTGAAAGGTGTCTTTGACCTTGGAGCCCAAGCAGTCCTGGTTCTCGGCAATCCACTGGCCGAGGGTCTCCTGTGAGATGCGATTGTCAAGGATCTTGGCATCACCCCGGGGGTGCGTCCCCATCCACAGCTACAAAGACAGGAAAAACCTGGTACCAACAGTTGTAGTCTGAAGGGTATTAGCACAGAGCCTGGGGGGGGGGGGGAGGGGGGGGGGGGAGGAGGTCCCTAAAATATGCTCCAGGCCTGGGCATGAAGCATCATGCCACAGACAAGAGAGGTAGCAGACCCTAGAACAGAACAGCAGGCCGTGCCTTGCAGCAGCTGGAGAGCCTTGAGCAAGTTTCACCCTTCTCCTAGTTTTCTTTTTTTTTTTTTTTGTCGGTCGTGGGGCTTGAACTCTGGGCCTGGGCGCTGTCCCTCAGCACTTCAGCTCAAGGCGAGCGCTCTACCACTTGAGCTACAGCGCCACTTCCGGTTTTCTGGTGGTTTATTGGAGATAGGAGTCTCATGGTCTCTCCTGCCCGGGCTGGCTTTGAACCGCGATCCTCAGATCTCAGCCTCCTGAGTAGCTAGGATTACAGGCGTGAGCCACCAGCACCCGGCATTCCTAGTTTTCTTTTGGTCAGTTGGGGGCTTGAAATCAGGGCCTGGGCGCTCTCTGGGCTCTTTTGCTCAGGGCTACTTCTCTACCACTTGAGCCACAGCACCCCATCTGGCTTTTTGTGACTCATTAGAGGCCTTTCTTGGCTGGGCTGGCTTTGAACCATGATCCTCACATCCCAGTCTCCTGAGTAGCTAAGTCTACAGGTATGAGCCACTGGCACCCGGACTTCTTTTATTTTTTTCCTAGGTCTGAGAACAGGACTTGAACTAGGTACCGTGGCCTCTTTCACTCACAGGTTACTGCTATACCAACTGAGCCACGCCTCCAACCCCAAGTGTCAGTTTCCTTATCTGTCAGTGAGAATGACCACTGCACTGTCAAGGTCACTGGGAAAGGGAGAGTCTCAAAACACCTCAGTAAGATGTTGACTACATTCTAGTATCAAAAAGGGATAAAGCCGGACTGCTGGTGGCTCATGCCTATCAGCGAGTCACCTGGCACCTTACTACTAGGAGGGTGGGATCTGAGGATCTCAGTTCAAAGCCATCTGGAGGAGGAAAGTCTGTGAGATTCTTATCTCCAGTTAACCAGCAAAAAGCCAGAAGTGGAGGTGTTGCTCAACTGACAAAGCATTAGCTTTAAGCAAGTCACTCAGAGACAGTGCCCAGGCCCTGAGTTCAAGCTCTCGGATTGGCGCACGCGCGCACACACACACACACACACACACACACACGCACCAGTAAGTGCTGAGTTGCTGGAAAGATGGAGAGTACCAGAGGTCTGAGATTGCTTTTTCTAGGACAATCTCTCCCTTCCTTTTGTTGCCATCACTTGGCTCACTGACCAGGAGCCAGAAGGGCGTCTCCTGCTCCCTCGCTTCCCAGCCGGTCAGGTCTCTCTGGTCTCACCTCGGCGTAGGGCTTGTCCTCGGCGATCTGGGCCAGTGGGTCATTGCTGGCCAGCAGACAGGCCACTTCGCTGGTGGAGCCCTTCTTGCCCCAGGCGTACTGCTGGGCGACGCAGGAAAGCGGGAACACTGTGGGACAGGCGGAGGGTCAGCCCTGGCCTGGGGTCAGCCCTGGCCTGGGTCAGCCCTGGCCTGGGGGCAGCGCGCGCCGAGGCTCCAGGGGAACCAGGACCAAGGGGCGGGTTCTGACTGGGGACTGAGTGGAACAGGGGTCTGTGTGTAGGCTGTGGGAGGGACCCGTCTCTTCTGCAAGCCTGTGTCCCGTCTGTCTGCACGGCGGGCGGATGCAGCCTGGGCCCCGCGCTCCCGCCTCCCGGTGACCCGAGCCCGCGGGGGGCGGGGACCCCCCCAGGCCCTCCACGAGCCCGCGGGGGGCGGGGACCCCCTCAGGCCCGCCAGGAGCCCGCGGGGGGCGGGGATCCCCTCAGGCCCGCCAGGAGCCCTCGGGGGGGGGGGGGGGCGGGGACCCCCTCAGGCCCTCCACGAGCCCGCGGGGGGCGGGGACCCCCCCAGGCCCTCCCGGCGCCCGCCACGAGCCCGCAGGGGGGGCGGGGATCCCCTCAGGCCCGCCAGGAGCCCTCGGGGGGGGGGGGGGGGGGCGGGGACCCCCTCAGGCCCGCCAGGAGCCTTCGGGGGGCGGGGACCCCCCCAGGCCCTCCCGGCGCCCGCCACGAGCCCGTGGGGGGCGGGGACCCCCCCAGGCCCTCCCGGCGCCCGCCACGAGCCCGCAGGGGGGCGGGGATCCCCTAGGCCCGCCACGAGCCCGCAGGGGGGCGGGGACCCCCCAGGCCCTCCCAACCATGAGCCCGTAGGGGGGCGGGGATCCCCTCAGGCCCGCCAGGAGCCCTCGGGGGGCGGGGATCCCCTCAGGCCCGCCACGAGCCCGCAGGGGGGGCGGGGACCCCCCAGGCCCTCCCAGCGCCCGCCACGAGCCCGCGGGGGGCGGGGACTCCCCAGGCCCTCCCGGCGCCCGCCAAGAGGCCGCAGGGGGCGGGGATCCCCTCAGGCCCGCCAGGAGCCCGCGGGGGGCGGGGATCCCCTCAGGCCCGCCAGGAGCCCTCGGGGGGGGGGGGGGGGGGGCGGGGACCCCCTCAGGCCCTCCACGAGCCCGCGGGGGCGGGGACCCCCCCAGGCCCTCCCGGCGCCCGCCACGAGCCCGCAGGGGGGCGGGGATCCCCTCAGGCCCTCCACGAGCCCGCAGGGGGGCGGGGATCCCCTAGGCCCGCCACGAGCCCGCAGGGGGGCGGGGACCCCCCAGGCCCTCCCGGCGCCCGCCACAAGCCCGCAGGGGGGCGGGGATCCCCTCAGGCCCGCCAGGAGCCCTCGGGGGGCGGGGATCCCCTCAGGCCCGCCACGAGCCCGCAGGGGGGGCGGGGACCCCCCAGGCCCTCCCGGCGCCCGCCACGAGCCCGCGGGGGGCGGGGACCCCCCAGGCCCTCCCGGCGCCCGCCACGAGCCCGCGGGGGGCGGGGACCCCCTCAGGCCCTCCACGAGCCCGCGGGGGGCGGGGACCCCCCCCCCCCCGGCCCTCCCGGCGCCCGCCACGAGCCCGCGGGGGGCGGGGACCCCCCCAGGCCCTCCCGGCGCCCGCCACCCGCCCGTCTCCCCTCCAGCCTCAGCTGTGAGGCCCGACCCCGGGCCGCGATCCCCCCCCACCCCCCGACGCCCCCGCCTCGCTCGCGGGTCAACCGACAAATCACCTCTCGGAGTCGCCATCCCGGCGGCCGTGGACCCGGCTACGGGCACGTATGCCTTCCCGGCAGTCCCCGCGGCTCCGCGCGCGGGGCTTCATGGGAAATGTAGTTCCTGGTTACTGCCTCCGCGGCCCTGCGCGCAGAGCTCCACGGGAAATGTAGTTCCTCCCTCACACACACCCCTCCCCCTCCCCCCCAAGAGTCTGGGTCTCAGCCTTCCTTCCTCCCTTCTCTCAAGTTCCATGGACTGTGTGCGCTGGGCTGGGAAGAGACGTCAGACTCGGAGAAGACAGCACCACTTTGCCTTTGCAGAACTTCTCCTCTGGCCTCGGAAGACAGGTCTACCAGTGTAATGCGTGAATCATGGAGTATAGCAAAAGGCACGAAAGAGCCGGGCATGGCTCCTGCCTGGGATCCCAACTACTGGTTTTCTGGTGGTTGATTGGAGATGAGTCTTACCTGCTTTCCTGACTGGGATGGCTTTGAACCAAGATCCTCAGATCTAAGCCTCTTGTGTAGCTAAGATTATAGGCAGGGGCTGGGAAGGTGGCTCAGTGGTAGAGCGCTTGCCTTGCATACATTAGGCCTTGGGTTTGATTCCTCAGCACCACATAAGCAGAAAAGGCCAGAAGTGGTGCTTTGGCTCAAATGGCAGAGTACTAGTCTTGAGCTGAAGAGCTGAGGGACAGTGCCCAGGCCCAGAGTTCAGGCCCCATGACCAACAACAACAACAACAACAACAAAAAACATAAAAATAAATAAAATTACAGGCATGAACCACCAGTGTCTGCCACTTGATTTTTTCTTTTCTCTCTCTTTTGTGTCAGATCTGGAGCTTGTGATCTGGGCCTGGGCTCTGGGGTGAGCCACCGGCTCCCAGCTTTCCCATTTAACTTACCATTTTTTCTTTTGGTGTTGGGAATCAAATGCAGGCTCTTGCACATTTTAGGTAAGTGCTCTACCACCAAGCTATAGTCCCCAGTCCTCAGCCCTCTAAAATGTAGAGATGAAAATTGAGTCTGTGGAAGGTGGGGCATGCAGCTACCCTTTCCTCACTGAATGAATGAATGAATGAGCAAAATGGTGTCTCTCTCAGGGTAGAGGGCACATCCTAGAAATGTTCAGAAATTGATGGGAAGGCAGCCTTCACAGTGATCAAAATGTTTGTTGCTTCACTGGTCCAGCAGCATAGCTGCTACAGCACAAGGAGGGGTAGATGGCCTGGTAGTTTTGTTTTGTTTTGCCAGTTCTGTTTTGCTTGAATTCAGGGTCTGGGCACTGTCTGTGAGCTGCTTTTGCTCAAGGCTAGCACTCTACCACTTGAGCCACAGCACCACTTCTGGCTTTTTCTGTGTATGTGGTACGGAGGACTCAAATCCAGGGCTTCATGAATACTAGACAAGCACTCAATCACTAAGCCACATTCCCAGCCCAATGGCTTGGTTCTTATGTCAGGGACTTCTCCCAGGATGCAGACAGCCAAGATCCCTGCCCTTGGAGGATGACTTTAGGGGCTGGGAAATGGGGGGTTGGTACTCATCCCCCACCCCTATCTCCAACCCATATCCTGAGGATAGTGCCTAGAGACAATAAAGTTGAATCTTTTTGAATCTTTTTTTTTTTTTGGTCAGTCATGTGGCTTGAACTCAGGGCCTGGCCCCTCTTCCTGAGCTCTTTTGCTAAAGGCTAGTGCTCTACCATTTTGAGTCACAGCACCACTTCCAGTTTTCTGGGGGTTAAATGGAGATAAGAGTCTCACAGACTTTCCTGCCCAGGCTGGTTTTGAACTATGATCCTCAGATCTCAGCCTCCTGAGTAGCTGGAAATATAGTCATGAGCCACCCGTGGCCAGTGCATGATACTCATCTCTAACTACCAAAAGACTGGTTTAAGTGGTAGACTGCTAGCCTTGAGCACAAAAGCTCTGGGATGGCACTCAAGCCTGAGTTCAAGCCCTAATACTGATACATTCTCACAGAGTGAGGCAAACACAGTCTTGTGGGGTTTCCTGTCTAGTGGAAGAGACAGACATAAACAAATAACTACCTATACAGGTCTATAATTACAATCTGTTAATGAGCTTTATGAAGGAAAATTACAGGGTGATATGAAATTTTATGATGGGAGCATGGGCTGAACTAGCAAAGGAAAAGCCCTTTTTTTTTTTTTTGCTTGTGGGGCTTGAACTCTGGGCCTGGCCCTGTCCCTCAGCTCTTCAGCTCAAGGGGAGCTCTCTACTACTTGAGCCACAGTGCCACTTCTGGTTTTCTAAGTGGCTTATTGGAGATAAGTGTCTTACTGACTTTCCTGCCTGGGCTGGCTTTGAACCAGGATCCTCAGATCTCAGCCTCCTGAGTAGCTAGCATTACAGGCATGAGCCACTGGCACCTAACTTGGAGAGTCTTTCTAAACATGGACTTCAAGAGTAAGTTGAAGATGGGGCATAAGGAATGGGGAAATACCAGTGATAAAGGAAAGCATGTGCAAGGATACAGAGGTAGGAGGGAACAAGGGAAGTGTAAGGAATTTTTTTTTTTGTTGGTCGTGGGGTCTGAACTCTTGGCCTAGGCCTGGGTGCTGTCCCTCAGCTCTTCAGCTCAAGGCTAGCACTCTACTATTTAAGCCACAGTGCTACTTCTGGCTTTTCTGCTTATGTGGTACTGAAGAATGGATCCCAGGGCCTCATGCATGCAAGGTAAGCACTCTACCACTGAGCCACCTTCCCAGCCCCTGAGTAAGGAATTCTTGTGTTACTAAAAAGGCTAAAATACAGCAGGGTAGGCAAGTGAGGGGGAAAGATGGATAGATGAAGGCAGATCCTGAAGAAACTTGAGGCTAACTTAAGAAGTTAGGCCTCAATAGAAGTTAATAGATGTTAAATAGCAAGTTTCATGACTGTTTTATTCCCTCCTAACAGATCTCTGGAGCTAAGTATGGTAACACAGGCCTATAGCCCCTACTTGGGAGGCTAAGGCAAGAGGGTCATTAAGTTCAAGACCAGTCTGGAAAACATAGTAAGACTCTGATCTCAAAACAAACAACAAACAAACAAGCAAACAAAAATGATATTTGTTGCCAGTGGTGCACATCTGTAATCCTAGCTACTCAGGAGGCTGAGATCTTTGAAGATTGCAGTTTGAAGCCAGCCTGGGCAGAAAAGTCTGATTTGTGTGTGTGTGTGTGTGTGTGTGTGTGTGTGTGTGTGTGTGCCAGTTCTGAGGCTTGAATTCAGGCCCTGGGCACTGTCCTTGAGCTTCTTTTGCTCAAGGCTAGCGCTCTACCACAGTGTCACTTCTGGCTTTTTCTGTTTATGTGGTACTGAGGAATTGAACCTAGGGTGTCATGCATGCTAAGCAAGCACCCTAGCACTAAGCTACATTCCCAGTCCAAGTCTGTGATATTTCTGTCTCCACTAAGAGGTCAGAAGTTGAGCTGTGGTTCAAGTTGTAGAGTATGAAAAAGCTCAGGAACAGCACTCAGGCATTGAGTTCAAGTCTCAGTGCGCGCGCGCACACACGCAATACTGATGGTTTATTCCTGTAATATCAGCATTAGGGAGACCAAGACAGGAGCCTCACTCTACATAGCAAGACTCACAAAACCAACACCCCACCTGGTTGCCAATGGCTCACACCAGTAATCCTAGCTATTCAGGAGGCTGATATCTGAGGATCATGGTTCAAAGCCAGCCCAGGCAGGAAAGTCAGAGAGACTCTTATTTTCAATTAACCACCAGAAAACCGGAAGTGGGGCTACGGCCCCAGTGGTAGAATGCTTGCCTTAAGCTGAAGAGCTGAGGGACAGCACCTAGGCCCAGATTTCAAGCCCCATAACTGACAAAACAAAAACCACCCCCCCCCCAAACAAAATGAAACCCAATAACAAAATAACATATCTCTAGTTACGACGCGAAGAATAAGATATCAATAGCAACTCTCATCCAGTCCTGGGTAAAAAAATGATGGTGGCTGAATTCCACAGCAGATATGTCAAATTCTGAATTGGGCACGGTGGTGCACACCTGTAATCAGAACATAAGTATAGCTGAGACAGGGGGATCAAGTTTGATAACAACCTGGGCTACATAATGAATTGGAGGCTGACTTGGAGCTAGATGCTGAGATCCTGTATAAGAAAAGAATTATAATGTCAAGGGAAACAAAACCAGGAAGGTATGAGTTTGTAGGGAGGAGATAGCCAGATTCCCACGACTGATGATGGACGACTCCGTGACTGACTCCACAAACAAATGACTCCATCCATAAATGCTGATGTCCAGGTTCAAATCCCCACTCGCAGGAGCCAAGGGATCCTCAAGCTTGACACACAACTGGGGACCAGAAAGCTTTTCCGCCAGACCCCAAAAGAAGAGGGGGCTCAGCCAGGGTGGGGTACTTTTGCCTGGCCCTCTCTGCTGGTCCTTGTCACCCCGGTCCCACTTTGGGGAGCTTACTGCAGGCTGAGAGGCATCTGGGAAGGCCTGCGGCCCCTGGGTTCCCCCTGCGCCCCTGGGACCCCGGGGTGGGAGTGTCGGGGGGGAGGAAGTAGAAGGAAAGCAAACGTCCATCCTTCACCGTGCAGAGGGCGGGGCGGGGGGCGGGGCTGGCCTCTGTGACGCAAACAGACCACGCTCCCTGGGAGGGCACTACGCATGCGCCAGAACGGCTTCCTGGCTCCCGGAAGTGGAGGGTCTACACAGATCGCCGCTGGGTCTGGGTGCCCGGAGGCGGCAGCGCTCTCGAAGTTCGCTGGCTGTGGCCTCCGACCGCCATGTCGGCCTTCGACAACAACCCTTTTGCGGACCCAGTGGACGTGAACCCCTTCCAGGTAGGACTCCCCTCAACTCACAGTAATTCTTTCTAGGGCAAGGGCCGACGCCCGGGCCTCTTTCGCCGGAGCCCGGAGACGTGGCGTTGGAGGGACGGGGCCTCTGCCCAATGGAGAGCGGGCTCTGAAGAGCTGGCCTATTGGAGCGTGCGGGGGGCGGGACTAGCAGCAGGTGGCTCCGCGAAGGGGGCGGGGCGCCACCGTGTTGGGAGAAGTGGGGTTTTCTCGCACCGGGGGGGACTCGGTACCCTTGCGTCTGGGGGGGCTGCCGGGGAAGGGCCGGCGCGATAGGACCCTCTTGGGGCCCCCTTCTAGCACGAGAAGGCAGCCGAGTGTAGCGATCGCGTTCCTGAAGTTGTGAGCACACACCTGTTTCGAGTCACCTTAGGAGAGGGGGGGTGACGGGAACCATAATGAGGAAGTCGTCTGATGGGATGGAGAAGTGTGGAAAGCCCAAGACACGCCGCCACCACCACCACCACCACCTCCATCCCCGTCACCAGCAGCAGCAGTAGCTGCTGCTACGAAACTGGCATAGAAAAAGTCTAGGAGAGCCCCCTCAAGGCTGGGAGAACAGAACAGGAGAGCCCAAGTTGAAAGACTGGGTGAGAATTCCACACCTTGCCTGGAGCTGGTGGCTCACGTCCATAATCCCAGCTACTCAGGAAGCTGAGGTGTGAGGATGGACGTTCAGAGCCAGCCCCCCACCCCCCTGCAGCAAGAAAGTCTGTTGTGTGACAGTTTCATCCCCAATTACCCACCAAAAAAGCTGAAGTGGAGCTGTGGTTCAAGTGGTAGAGGGCCGTCCTTAAGAACAAAAAGCACCTTGGCCATGGTTCCCCTTGGGAGTGGTTTTTGGGGACTGATAGGAAAATCCCCCAGTTTGGTATGGAGGAGCGGTGAAGGGCACTGAGTGCGTCTTGGAACACGGGAAACACCCATGAGTGGCTGAAAATGCACTGACCTATGAGCTGGACTGACCTTTGGAACAATCGAGCAAGAAATGATCTTCTGACTTAGTGCCAAAGCTTCCTGCCCGTGAGCTGAGAGCACAGAGGTGTTCATTTTCTAAGGTGAAGGGGCTGGGACGCTTTTCATGACTGCTCAGAACCAGTTCTTGGGGAAGCGTGTTTGGCTGACTGCTGACTGATGCGCCCTGATGTTTCTGCTCAGTCAGGATGTCAGCAGGCACATGAACTCATCTGACTTGCACTTTAGGTCGATCATGGGTAATTTCCAAATTTCCTGCAGGTGTTAGGGGAGCCCTTTCTCTGACTCGGACCTTGAATCCTTTCAAGGGTCAGAGCAAAGGAAAGGAAACTTCAATGGAAAAATTCCACAGTCAGCCAGGCACCAGTGGCTTTCACATGTAATCCAGGCTGCTCAGGAGGCTGCGATCTGAGGATTGAGATTTGAAGCCAGCAGCTTGGGCAGACAAATCTAGGAGACTCTTATCTCCAGTTAATCAGCAAAAAACTGAAGTGGAGGTATGGCTCAACTAATAGAGCACCAGCTTTGAGCAGAAAAAGCTAAGCAAGGGTTCAAGGCCCTGGGTTCAAGCCCTTGGACCAGCGCACACACAAAAACATTTCCAGTCATAAGTGGAAATTTCAAGCTGCTTGGCCTCAAGGTGACTTAGCCAATAGGAGCCCTGAAGGTGAAGTGTGGTTGCTCACTCCTCGCTACACTGGAGAATTCTGAGCATTCCTTTTGGGCTTGATGCTCCCTGGCAGAGCAATTGCAAAGCCCTCGTGTCTTACATAACACAAATGAGCAGCCGTCTCCATTGAATAGGGAGAGAACATTTGCATTTGTCCCGTTATTGTCTTCTGCTGTTTCTCACTTTATTTATGAAACTGCTGTGTATTACTGGGATTTGGGTTTTACTATTTAATTATGATCCTTTTGTTGTTGTTGTTGTGTGTATAGTGATCCTGGGGCTTGATCTCAGGGCCTGGGCACTGTCCCTAAGCTTTTTGGCTCAAGGCTAGCTCCCTGCCACTTGAACCACAGCTCCACTTTGGGCTTTTTTGATGGTTTATACAAGATAAAAGTCTCGAGGACTCTTACCCTGGCTGGCTTCAAACCTGAGTCTTCAGATCTCAGTCTCCTGAATAGGTAGGATTACAGGCATAAGCTGCCCATGTCCGGCCCCCCCCCCCTTTTTTTTCCATCAGAATCAAATAAATTTTTTGCTGACTGCAGCAGCAGTCAGCTGGCCAAAAGTGCTAGAGAGCTTTTTTGTCAGTGGTGGCAGTGGGTAGAATTGTGCTGCCTTGTATTAATAGTTCCTTCAATGTCTTCACCCACATCTGTGGTCCCAGAAGTGATTATGCAAACAGAGAGGAGCAACTTCTGTATGGCCGCAAGTCAGCCCGCAGACAGCCCAGGATATGGCAGGACAGGAAACAGCTGTTGGCCTGCAAACCGACAACATCTGGTGGGGGAGCCTGTGTGAGCACAGAGAGGGCTGGCTGGCTGCAACACTGCACCCCGCATCCTGGCTGCACCCCCTCATCCTGGGCTGGGCTCAGTTTCCCTTTGTTGTTGTTAAAAAAGTTAAGCTTGTTGTTTAACTTAAGGGCTGTCTCTTAGTTTTTTCGCTCAAGGCTAATGTTCTACCACTTGAGCCACATCTTCACTTGCAGCTTTTTGTTGGTTAATTGAAGATAACAGTCCTCATGGACTTTCCCTGCTCAGGCTGGCTTCAAACTTCGATCCTCAAGTCTCAGCCTCCTGAATAGCTAGGATTACCAGCATGAGCTGCCTGAGCCCTGCTAGAATTAAGTTTTCACTGTTGGCCCCGGGCACTAATGGGAGGCGCAGCTTTGGATATGGGTTCAATACTCTAACCTCCCTCCCCCCAGCTCCCTTGAGCAGAGCTGTGGGACGTGGCTTCCTCAGTTGACTGGGTTTGAGCCCAGATTTCTTGACTCAGGGTGTTGGCACAGAGATCAGGAAGGAGCAGGTGGAGAGGTGGCAGACGCAAACTGTCACACCTAGTCAGATTCCAGAGCAGTCGGTGGTTTTTTTTTTTTTTTTGTCACACCATATAATGCTGGATTGCAAAAATAAATTTGGCATTCAGAGTCTGTGGTTTGACGGTAGGAACTGAGAAGTTTCTTAGAAATCTATTCTGACCTCTTCAGTGGGTGGGACACACCCTGGTCACCGGCATTGCCAGCATTAGCAGCAGAAAGGGGACCAAGCCTGGGTCACAGGCCCCAGACCCTGCTGTTTTAAAAATGTGTGTGAGCTGGGCACCAAGTGGCTCACGTCTGTAATCCTAGCTACTACTCAGGAGGCTGAGATCTGAGGATTGAAGTTCACAGCCAGCCCGGGCAGGAAAGTCCATGAGACTCTTATCTCCAATAAACTACCAGAAAACCGGAATTGGTGCTGTGGCTCAAGTGGTAGAGCACTAGTGTTGAGCTGAAGAGCGCAGGGACAGCGCCCAGGCCCAGAGTTCAAGCCCCACAACTGACAGAAAGAGGGGGAGGGGAGGGAGAGGGAGGGAGAGAGGGAGAAAGAGAGAGAGAGAGAAAGAAAGAAAGGAAGGAAGGAAGAAAAATGTGTGTTGAGGGGTGAGGAGGTGGTGCTGGGGCTTGAACTCATGGTCTCCTGTTCTCACTTGGCATTTTCCTGTCAAGGCCAATGCTTTACCACTTAAGCCACACACCCACTTCTGGCTTTTTTGATGGTTAATTGGAGATAAGGGTCTCACAAGTTTTTCTGCCCAGGCTGGCTTTGAACTGTGATCCTCAGATCTCAGCCGTATGAGTAGCTGGGATGAGAGAAATGAGACACCGGTGCCCAGCACACCGCCATAAATAATTCTCCCATTCTGCCAACTCCCTCCACCCCTCCATGAGTGGAATAATACTTATTATAGTTGGGATTTTTTTTTTAATGGTGCTAGGGATTGAACCCAGAGATTTGAGCATGCTATGCATATGTTCTACCATTGAGCTATACCCCCAGCCCCTTCTTTTGTTTATTTTGGGGGCGGTCAATGTGTTTGAACTCAGAGCCCCACACTTGCTAAGCAATCTGAGGATCACAGTTCAAAGCCAGCTTTGGACAGGAAAGTCCATGAGACCTTTATCTCCAATTAACAGCAAAAAGCCAGAAGTAGAGCTGTGGCTTAAGTAGTAGAGGGATCTCCTGGAGTGAAAGACTAAGGGATCACATGATGCTCTGGGTTCAAGGCCCCTCTTTCCCCCCCAAAAAAGACTTGTTAGTTTATTGAAGGCTCTCAGAAATCCTACACCTTTCAAACTAACTTAAGCATAGAGCCTGGACTCAATTTGTCTGTCAATGAAATTTCTGGAAGCCTCTAAGCTGTCTTCATCTTTACCCTGCAGGGCAGCCAGGCTCTGCCCACCCCGTAGTATTAGAAAACTTCAGCCAGGTGCTGGTGGCTCACGCCTGTCATCCTAGCTTACTCAGGAGGCTGAGATCTGAGGATCTCGGTTCAAAGCCAGCCCAGGCAGGAAAGTCTGTGAGACTCTTATCTCCAATGAACCACCAGAAAACCAGAAGTGACGCTGTGGCTCAAGTGGTAGAGCGCTCACCTCGAGCTGAAGAGCTCAGGGACAGCGCCCAGACTCACAGTTCAAGCCTCACAACTGACCAAAAGAAAAAAAGAAAAGAATACTTCCTGCAGAGGACAAGCTGTGAGTAGAAAGTTAAGTCGCTCCGAGGAGGAAGCTGGGACCTGCAGGGCAAGCATGGTTTTCTCGCCCACACCAGCACCCCTGTGCCTCTGCTAATTATAGCCCATGCACTCTGTGCTCTGGCTCCTTGGGGCCCTCTTTACTTGGGACCAAATCCAGGGTGTCTGCTTCCAAAAGTTTCTCATGAGTCTTGTCAGGTGATGGCACAGAAAGCTAAAGGGAGGCATTGTACGGTTTTATGTTTTGGCAGTCCACTAGAAATCAGACCACCCAGGCGAACGCCAGGGCTGCTTTTCCTATGCATACTTCTGCCAAATGATCGCC